TTTATTTGTAGATTTTTATCGTGCATGGTTTTTTTTCTATTTCAAACGTCTTTAATCCTGCAACTTACTATATTATGCCTAATTTGTTGTTGTATCATAATTTCTTAAGTTTTTATTTGCTTTATTTAACTTGATAACTTTATTGAGTTATTGATAACTTCATTGAGTTTCAACAATAGAAGTTTGTTCTAATCTCAAGGGCATGGCATTTAACTTAAATAACAGTCAATAAAGATAAAAGTAAACACCTCCAGCTCAATGGTGCAGACAACTATATTTTCTTAGCGAGACTCCCATAATGCATTTAGAATCTGTGAGAAGTGTCTTGAAAATATCTTGACTCAAGCAAAAATTACATTTACATAATGCAAGCCAAATTGACAGCAGAAATGGCGCAGCGCGCTGGCCACGTACCCAACTCCCATAAACCACTTCGGCGCCCTTGCCACACCTACACCTCTATCGAGTTGCTTGGCCTTCTTGGTGCCGCTGCTGCTGATGTTGCAAATAAAGAAAACAATAAAGAAATTGCAAGAGGCAAGCGCGCAAAAGATGAAATAAACCCACAACGAAAACAAAGTCGTAAATTCAATTTAAAGCATGACAGATTGCCACAGTGCGGCTTTGCGTTGGTTTTCGGTAAGGGGGTGTGGGGGTCTTGGGGGCAGGGGGTAGCTGGGAAACTGCACAATGCACAACTGCAGCACAATATGAGAGAGGCTGGGCGAAAACAATACCGTAGCTTCGCATGACGCCGTCTCCGTCTATGTCGTCGCCTGCCTCTCCTCCGCCTTGGCGTATGCAACGACTTTTGCATAGAAAGTATAAGTATGTATGCATGTGGCTGTGTGCGAGTGGCGGTTTGTGTGAAAAAAAATATTTTCCACCATTTTAACAAAGCGTTAAGAATTAGGGTCGAGTTTCTGACTGGCTTGCAGCTTGCATGAAATGCAATTTAAGGCGCCAGGAATTAAATAGGTTTTAATAAGCTGAGCCACTTTAGACACGGCAACAACAAAAGCGACAACTCCTGGAAATTCTGCGCAAGCTGCGGGTAACTAGCTTTTTATAGCTCGCGTAAGAGTTGTGGCCCACACACACTTTCCCATTCCCCACATCCCGCCATCATATAAGTATAGAATTGTCTGTGAGCTGGTGGCGTCGCGAAAACGAAATAAAAATAGAACCCCCCTGGCAGTCATGGCAGCCTCGGGCTGTTGGTGGGCGTTCTCGTCTGATTTTATAGACGGAAAGAAGGTGCTAGTGGCAGGCAACAGTAGCAGCACTTTCTGCAACAAGAGGGCCGTCGAGCAGGCAGGGAGGCATTACAACGTTGATGTTGGCGCGCCCGCTTTTGTTGCAATACGCGAAAGTGCAATTTGAGCCGTAAGCCATTTTTGGTGCCTTTTATGCGTTGGGCATGGCAAAAAGAATGCAAAGATTGCAATGCTTGCTTGCCACTTGCAGTAGCAGTAGCAGTGGCAGTAGCAGTTAGCCGAGTCGGCAGGCAGCTAAAAGAGTGGATGCCAGCGGCCATTTGTGCCTGTGACCCAGTTTTTTGACTGCCACTCTGGCAGCCTGTCTGCCTCGCATTATCCCCAGCGTGGCAGCTAAAACATTAAATAATTTCGTTTGCCTGTTGCCAAACCACACAATGGGGAATATTTCAATATTGCTGATCAAAATATTTTGCTTATAAGTTTATAAATGCATTCATATACAATTTGATTTATCTGCTGCTGAGGAGATCCTGCAAAGTAGTTTATGTGTCTCTAGGACTTAAACTCCTTTCGTGGAGTTATGCATGGCTACTTTAAAGCAATTCTGTGGCTTGAGAAACGAATACGTATCTCCGTTTGTGTGTGTGGCGTGTCGCACAAAATTTCATAATATCCTTTTATCCTTTAAATAACCAGAAAAGAAACACCACAGCTCAATCAGAATGAGATCACTAAAAAAAAACTCGGCGAGGTAAGTAATAAATAAAGATTGAATAAACTGGTTGGATATATTTAATAGATGCAAGTGGGTACGTTTTTAATAAAACTCAAAGCGAGCGGTCCACTCTACGAGTTGACAGGACGGGTATGTTAGTGATGTGATCAGTAGATTAAAAGAATCCTGGACCCAAGAAGAAAAAGAAATGTTTATTTGGGGTTAATATCGAAAGTATTCATAATTCGAATCTAATAATGATTGGTGCCTCGAGCAATAGCGTTTGAAAGGCAAATGTCTTCAAACCATTGTTTAGGAACTGTTTGAATTAAATTTTTGAGTTGTATCAAATTTTTATCATTTCTTCCATTTAAATAATATTGTATTTCTTAATACGACTTTAAAATCAAGACTAATTTAATTAGAAGTAAAATAATTTAATTCTCTGCCTGTACTATACGTTATGTGACTTTGTTTGTTGAAATTGCAAAGTTGCCCCACTATGTATGCTCAGGTGGCAGCTAATTTAATTCGCAAGCTTTGTGCATTTGGTATTATGGCGTATAATAATGTTACACCTGTGAGACCGCCATTCAATATGGTTAATTGTTACAGCAATCCCACTGACAGCACAATTAAAGCCAATACATTGGCTTGATGGCAACACTGCCACCGAAGCGAGCGCGTGCCGGCCTCAGATTGCAGGCAATCAACAGACGGGGCCGCAGCAGCCACAACAGCACGCACACACAGACGCAGATAAAAGCGCAGCGGGCGTTGCATTATAGGTTTACAGTTACATCGCTGTTCTATATAGATATATATGTATGTATGTACCAGTATATGGGGTGCATCTCAAAGGGCTGGGCAGGAAACGCGCACAAATTGCATTTTAACGCATGCAAATTGCCAACGTCGTCCCGCGGCGTGTTCGCATTTATTGCATTACTGTTGTATGCGTGTGGGAGAGTGTGTGTGTGTGTATGTGTGAGTGTGAAAGTGGGTGTGTATGTACCGCAATTGCCACTTTGCACTTTTCCCACCACAAATGCAAACGTAAAAACTGTGGACTGTTAAAGGGAGAGGGAGAGAGAGTTCAAAGCTGACCTGTTAAAAGACGTGCAACGGTTGCCAGTGTAGCCAACATTTGTCTTTTTTTCGGTTCATATGTTGTTGTTGTTGTTGCTGCTGCTGTTTTGCTTTGGGTTGCCGGTTGCCAATTTGGCAAGCGCGCATGCAAAAGCTTCCACTGCTTGGTCGTTTATTCGGTTGTTGTTGCTGTTGCTGCTGCTGTCGGTTTCATTAAGCCGCCAGCGTCAAGTGACAGTGCAATGGGCAGCCTGCAAAAACAGAAGCAAAAACAACTACATGGAGAGCAACAACAGTAACTACAACAGCAGTATACATACGTACATGTTGGCTGGCGGCAGCATTTTATGCCTGCTGCAGCTGTTAAATTTTCCATAGCCGACTTTCAGGCGGCATCAAAAAGTCCGACGTGGTGCGCTTTTAAAATGTCAAGTCAATGTGGCTGATTTTTTTCAGGCCCCTCCCACAACGCCCGCTTTTATGTTTGTCGGCCATAGATTACATGGACTACCAGCCAGTGCAGGGCAGGGCTCTGTAAATGTTGTTGTTGCTGCTGCTGCTGCTGTTCATGGTTTTTTGTAGTTGACTGTAAATTTATGGTCAAGTCAAATATTATGCATACGCATCATTGCGTTTAATAACAATTTCTGCCTTGCTTGACAATGCGTTGGCCGGCGACAGAGGGGGGAGAGGAGAGCTGTTTGTATTCACTGTGTGTCTTTGGCATCAAGTTGAGCTGAATTAAATTAAAATAAATCTCTTTTGCATTTTTAAGCAAACAAATTGAACATGCAAGCACAAGTATCAGACAAACTAAGCCTGACATCATACTATGTAGAGGTATTGCAGATGAAGAACAAGAGAACCAAAACTGTAATGTAGTCGTCGAATCTGGCATTTCTTTATCCCTAACATATTCATACATGTGCGGAAGTGTACGAAATAAGATAACGATTTTTAGACTTTAACAATTCAAGTTTGCCTCCTCCTGATTTACTTGGATGTATATGTTTCTCTTGTTACCCTACGGAAACAGGGTATAATAAGGAGTTGCCATATGCTTTGCTATATTGTTTTAAAACGGTTCTTAATGGGAGGTCAGTTGTTATAAATGTTAATATAAATCCAATGTAAACAAATTTGTGGAACGTATAGATATGAATATATACAAAATACAATTGCATCCTAATCTTTAAAAAAATATGCATTCAAATACATATATTAACGTCACACACAATACTGATCAGGGAAGATAAAATGATAAGTACTTGTATGTATTGTTCCTCAATTGAAAGAGTTAAAGTTTGGCAAATTATATTTGGCTAAAGTCGCATTTCATTTTGAAAAACTGAACTTCATGCATACCTACAGTATTAAATGAAAAGATCTATTTTAAGTCTAGAGTCCAGGCTGTAGGCTTAAATTAAGATGAGTTATTGTTTATTTTGTTAGTCGTAGGTACAAACAATAGGATTTTGTAATAATTTTAGTAACTTGGCTATTGCTTTTAAGGAAGTATAATAAAGTATATGCATAAATCCTTATACAATTTAGGCAAGTTTTAAATCAGAGCCTTGCTGATCCTTATATTTAATTCCGCTTCAGAATCTTTAGATATCGTCTCTTGCACATTAATTTAAAGTAAAGGCTTAAAAGTTGCGTTGAAGAGCCATGGAACATGCACGAGAAAGGCGCCAGGATATGGCCCATACACTCGCACATTATGTATACGCCACGTGTGAGCATTATTCATACGTCATTGCGCTTGAATGTGGCTGTCGACTGGGTGTGGGTGTTTCTGCATTTGCTTTGAAATTTGACAGACGTGTGATTGTTTGTATGTGTGTGTGTGTACCCGTATGTGTGCTTGCACTCATATGCATTTAAATAACAAAATTAAAATAGAACAAATTGTACGCATATTTCATTTCGACTCAACACTCCCCTATCCTTTACTCTCTCTCTCTCTCTTGCAGATGAACAAAAACACGCAGGCGAGCAACAATAAGTATGTTGGGGAACGCAAGCGTTGGATACACGATCCGTCGAGTAAGTAAAATAAAATGCGATGAAAACTTAAAACACGCACATACAATTTGTATATTAATTGTGTCGAGCAAATAGCTCGAATAGGCCATAAAGTGAAGGTCAAAAGTTTGTGAAGGCATTCTTAAAAATTAATAAATTAAAAGCGATATAGTTAAAAGGTTTCATGGCCGCTCTCCTTTATCGTTCGCAGGTGACCTTTGTCGGCCGCTTAACTGCAAGAAACGTGAAATTTGCCTGCTCGAGGACGAATATAGTGCGGTGTGCGTGTCGAAGAAGGAGCTGCACAAGAATCGGTGAGTGCCGGAGGCTTGTTAGCCCCGTTTTTGTTGCTCATGGTCTTGTTTTTGGTCTTGCTTTGGCTCTTGTTTTCGCTACTGTTTCCCAACTTGCTGTTAAATTTTATAAACTAATTAAATTGAAACTTGGTCGCACGTCCGGCCACCTTGTTATCTGATCGCCAACTCCTGACACACAGCGATGAGATAATCACAAAGGCCAAATACTTGGAGGAGGAAGCGAAGCGTCGTGTCAATCAGCAGGACAACCAGGACGACATTAACAATGACAACGAGCGCGACGATGAGGACAACAGCAGCGGCATTAGTGGCAGCAATACCAACGGCAACAACAACAACAAGGACTTGGATGAGAACGACGACGAAGATAAGAGTCTAAGTCTGGGTGACGATGATGATGAGTCAAAGGAGGATGATGTCTTCTATGAGAACAGCATAGCCGCTGGCGACAAACAGCAGCAGCAGCAACAACAACAACAGCAGCAGCAATCAGCGCCACAGCAACAGCAGCAGGACGACGATGAGGAGTTGGAGTGAGTATTTAACTGAGCCGACTTTTCCTTCCTCTTTTTCATGCTTTACACTTTTCTTTGCATTTTAATGAAATTTTCACATTTCATTTAACAAATTTTGCATTTTCAAGTGGCTATGGTGAGGGTGTGAAAAAGGGTTGATACTGCAGCTCTCCCTGCAGCAGAATTCGGAGTTGGGGTCGGGGTCACCTTTAACATTAAATTGGCGACCCCTCATTCCCTCCCTATCTCTGATTTGCATGGCTATGGGTCATCATCTTGGGTGCGGGCTGCCGCTGCTGTTACGCTAATAACAAATTGTTTTATCGTGTATAAAAATTCCACAATAAATTTTCAGTACATTTTGTAACAGCCGCGAAGGGGAATGAAGTGGGAGAGGTTAAAGGGGTAGGCAGCATTTTGTGGGCCAGGGCTATTTCTGTATTTTTTTTCTTTTGCCTTCCCCATGCTGCTGGTTTTTGTGCTGTGTCGACGGCATTTTTATTGTTGTTGCTGTAGCTGGCTGCGTGTTTGTGCTGTTTTTGCTTGGATGCCTTGCAACGACAACTTTACGGCCGGTTCCCCGCACTTTACCCTTTGACGTGTGCTTGGGGCTGTGTAGCTTCGTGTATACGTATCCTTTGACTTGTTCAACGTTATCGTTTTGACCCTAACCCAAATTGTGAATTTACACGCAAGCAGTCACAGCCGCAGCCGCCATAGCAGCAACAACAACAGAAGTAGTAGCATTGGAAAAGGCAGCTAAATGAGGTCCTGATGTAGTGGGAGGAGCTGCGGCTGCGGCTGTTCGCTGCCTGATTGTGGGCCTATAATGTGCGTATGTGTTTGAAGTCAAAGTTGATGTGGCAATGAGCTGCGCAGGCCAAGGTTCAATCGTTATGATTGAGAAAACGTATGACGTTGAGGTTCTTGTATTGATAAGGGACCAAAGGATACGTGTGTTGAATACAGGTGGCATGTTATGACGACCATTTAAATGGTTTTTTGTCTTCCAAGCCTTATTTACGGTGTCTACTTCTGAGTCCTCTCTGCCAAAATTAGGTATTTGGTCCCATCTGTATTTATAAATATTGTGAATTCAATGTTCTACCATTAAATTGACAAATGTATTCCTTAGTAAATATACTTATTTAAATGAGTGGACCAAAGAAGCATCTCGTTTTCTTTCCATTTTAACTATATTTACAGTTTGAATTATTTTTCTTGTTTTACTTTTTGTACTTATGCCCCTAAATGGCAAGTTTCTCTACACACGTTAATTTGAGAAGGGAACACTGAATTGAGCCATTAACAAATACAACAGATTACAAATTCCATTCCCTTGCCATCCACACTCGCCATGAATATATGACCGCATTGACTAAATCATCGACGTGTCAACTTTTATATTCATCACCTTGAAGAGCGTTTGAAGTAGCACTTGGTGACCTGGTTGGCCATTATCAGTCATAATCGCGGCATAAAATAAAACTCAACAGAAGGCGCATCGTTGGCAATGGCTTTAATAAGGAAAGATAATCCCAAACATGAGCGCACCCAAAAGCCCTAAGCCAGCTCTGTTTTCTTGGCTCCTTCCCGCTCCACTCTAGCAGTCTGTTTAAACTTTTTAGTCAAACTCATTCATTTTGTTAGAATGTTTATTTTTCTGTTTCCTTTTTTTGTTTCAGGACTTTCCTGCTTTTTTTTTGTTGGAGATTAGTTTCATACGCGTTGCTTGACACTTTTCTTTAAGGGGCGCAGGACAGTTGGCAGTGACAGGTGCGCCTTTAAGTAGCTCTGTTTATCTTGTGCCGGCAGTTTGTAGAATTTTCCACATCCGTCTTCACTTTTGCTGTACGTCCTTCCTTTTCATTTGGCACGAATGGAAAATTAATTTTGCGAAATGCTTCAGTATCTACATTTCGCCGGAATATTTTAGCGTGTGCTTGAATGTCCTTCGCACACGTATAGAAGTGCGTAAGTGTGTCTAATTTTTGAGAAGGATTGAACCTTTTCGTAGCATTATATTGACTGGTTTTACTCTTTTTCCTCTTCTTGTTGCTGTTATATTCGTGTGGAGGGTCATGTTGGTGGCCCGAAGGGCTTGTTATTGAATTAAAATCAATATTTATTGTTAACACTCACACAGTGTAGGCCAAATACTATTAGACGAGTAGGGCATAAAAATCAATCTGCCCACCAGCCAGCGCCCTAGTTGCCTTGTCGCAAACATTAAAAATGGCTTTTGACATATTTCACGCATATTCCTTTCATTTTGCTTTCACAAAAATTTCTCTTTTATGCATATCTATGTCAATGGCATAAAATATGGATAGCGCGTACGAGCGCCGAGCGCCGAGCGCCTGGCGCCTACCGCCTGAAAGCATATCTGCCTAGCTGATGGGAGCAGGGGAGCAGGGGAGGGCAGGGGGTGTGCATAAAAATCAATAGTTGGCGCGTACGATTTCGTTATCTGCCATTCATCGCTGTTGTCTACATTGTCGTAGGAGTTCTTTTCAGCTAAAGTCTAACAAAAGATTTGCGAAAGGGGCACAAGCACACATAAATACAAACGCACACACACACACATACAGACACATTGACTCACACTCGCTCGTCCACACATGCTGAGAGAGTTGCGCGGTTGGTGTAATAAATTCCTAAACATTCAAGCTTATTTCCCTCCCATATTAAAGAGTTATGAGATCAGCCTGAACAGCTTTCTTTCTGACTAAAAAAAAAAACGTTTGAAGTTCAAAACTCCGCAGCCTAAGAATAAAAATATATGAAAATAAATACTTCTTCCATAACACCGGGCTTGTCCAATTTAGCTCCAATGCCTATCGTAGACAAACCTTCTTTATAGTTGTAGATTTAGGATATGTTAATGCGATAAGTGTTGTACCCCGTCATTTCCTTATATGGTTTTCTATACGAGTAGCTTGCGAGCAAACAAGATTGGTACTTCCATGAATACTTCCTTGTTCAAAAATATGAAACGAATACAAAACGTTACACAATTGAAAATTGTATTCAATATTACTCTCTCTATAAAACATTTAAAAAAGACAGCCTTCCCAGCAAGTAGCACAATTTTTAAATAAGATCGACTCATCAAAGTAATCGCAATGGTTATTTCGACCTTAGCAATATTTATATTTATGATTATTTGTAGCCTAAGATATCATAAGCATATCATAGGTATAAATATTTCTAGTTCTTTGACTAAACCTTTATTATGCACATGTAAAAATATTCAAAAAGATCATCATTTTCTCCTTAGCTTTAGATTCCTGTTCGAGCAAATAAGTTCGTATCGGACACATTTGTAATTTGTCTGGCTCTGATGTACCTGCGCAATCGCGGTTTTCAAAGAGCTTTAAAGTCGAATAATCGGATGAACCGGATAATCGAGGTTTATAGGTTTACAGAATGTTATCTTTGTTCTCATCTAAAATTTGTGAAGCATCAATCAGTTTATTCTTTAGGAAAAGGAATCAAAAAAAAAGATTTCTAAGACGACAAAACGATTATGATTATCGTGATTAATTCTGTTATGTTTGTAATTTGTAAAATAGACTCACTTATTAATTTATTAAATGTAGCTCAACTTGCATATTTGCAGTTTTCCAATTCTGACACCGAGAATCAAATGGACCGAATTATTGTTTCAAAAACTGGTATGGGAGACAAGTTGGCAAAAAAAAGGGCTGAAACAATAGGCTTAGTTAGTCTTTTGAATTCATCAGATAGGGACAATCGCAAAACTTAACGCCATTTAATTTGCTTTAGTTGTACCGTAGAGCGAACGTTTTAAGCCACTCTCGGGTTCATAGGTTGCTTATAATAAACCATAAAACATCACACACATGCGCGCACATAACTCATATATTGTTGGCCATTGTTTACTGTAACAATATGCTGCTGCTGTTACCACCGCTGTGTTGTTGTTCTAACTATGCCATGAGTATGGGGCTCTGCACACACCTCAAGGGGGGCTGGAGCCTGCCTCAACACAGGTCCCCTGCCCTGCTACTAAATGTTCTGGCCCTGGCAGATATACGAAACCACTGAGCTGTTTTGTGGCTTATGCAGCCAGAAACTGTTGGCTGTTTTGGCTCTTCAAAAGCTGCACTCAGAAGGGGACGGACCAGCAAGTGGCATACTCAGACAGTTGGGAACATCAAGCTATCTGTATCAGCGAGTGTTGGCTTTATCAGGAGGAGCACATGTGGGGGTTGTGTGTGTGTTTGTTGTTTGCTGAAAATTGAAAGCAAATATTTGAGTAAAATTTTCAGAGAATTTTGCTATGAAAGCAAACAATTCTAATTGTGTTGGTGTGAGTATAGTGTATACATAGATATGTGTATGTAATATTTGTTGAGTAATTTGTGCAAAACAGCCGCAAGTCCTGGTCAGCCATTGACCCAAAGTTGAATGCTACACTCCATGGCTGTCATAAACAATGGCCGACATCGCCATTTTGTCTTGTCCTTGTCATGCTGCTTGTTATTTAAACATTTTACAATTTTAAATTGTTGCCTCCTGTTGGCTAGTCTGTTATTTATTCGGCCTAGGAATTTCATTAAATGTTGAACAGAAATTGCATATTTGTCCTTGGATTTAGATGAGAACAAAGAGCAACAGCAATCGAAGCAGAAACATTTCGTGTTCACAACCGCAAAGCTACTGTATTTTTAATTAAAAGCGTCTTTATATTTGATTGAAGAGCGCACACCAACGCCTCAAGCACACACACACACACACACACACACACACAGACACTCTGCCATTTTGTGGCTGCTATAGCGCATACTACGAATATATACGAGTGCTGGTATTTGTTCATTTTCTTTGGCCTGGGCAAAGAGTTTTTATTTCTGGCTCGCCTTAAATGCCATGTAAATATTGGCAGCAATAAGTTGGCCGCATCCAGCACAGAGAAAACCCATATAAATTGCCAGTTTATTTGATTTTATTTAATTTCAGCATTTTTACTTATTTCGTGCTCGTGCTCGTGCTCCGGCTCGGCAGCGAGAAAATGAATTTTGGCTTACTTGTATATTTTTGCAGAACAGCAAATAGCAGGAAGCAACAGCAGAGAAGGACACACAAAGGCGAACAAGTGTGCGCAATGTTACAAAATGCGCAAAGTAAATAAGAGTATGTAAATGTGTATCAGGATGTGCATAGTATTGTTTGTGAGGCTAACAATAGCCAAAATCAATAGTCGCAGAAGTGGAAGCACTTCCTCTGCGAAGCCAGAGCTCCAAAATGTGTGTGAGCAGAAAAAGAACTCAAGTCTATTACCAATTTGATTCTGAAATATTCATGTGCATAAATCAAAGTATCAAAACTTCAATATTTTTAAAATTTCAACAGTGAATTTGTAGAACAAAGCCAGCCCATTGTGATGCCACGTGGACGGTTCCTATTCCCGTCTGCTTTTGGTATCTATGCGTTGTCTGAGCATACCTAAGATCCACCCGGAAGCCTGGATGAATTTGGATATATGCTGCGGTTTTTTTGTGGATAGTCTTGTGGGAGAAAGTTTTGAAGAAGTTGGCTCCCAGATACCGGTGTCTGGTTTTAAGTAGGGCTGGCCAGTCACAGAAGAGGTGGGTCTTCGTTTACTTCTCTTCCGCATCACGACATCCTGTTCTGGCTTCAGCCGAGCAGTGGCTTTTTTTTATACGGACAGACCGCGTTGGGATAGCGAAAAGCTAGTAGTCAGACAAGCTACAAATGGTACAGCTGATGGCTTTCCTTAGATAAGGACAGTGGTACAGTGGTGTCAGCTATGTCCCTGTGACCTGACACCCATATTAGGTAGAAAGAGAACTGTTCTGTCATCTCCTGAAAAGATCTGCGACGGTTGTACATCGATGTCGAGATCTGCCATGTTGTTCAGTAAACAGTTTAAAAAGTAAAATTTGAAAAAAGAACAGCCCAACAGTAATGATTTTCAAGTATCTGCTTTATTTTCTACCAATCCTTCTTTTTGTACATGAATTTTATTGTTTGGTACTTCTTCTGCCTAAAAAATTTATTGTCCTTTTAGAGGTTCGTATTTCCCCTCTCTTTCGCCTTGATTCCTTATTACTCTTCAAGTGAACAGTACAGTTGGAACTATTCGCCCACATTTTCAAAATCTGATTTACTGCTAGTCCGTAGTTATAGTGGCAAGTTGATTTACGAATAACCTCCTTACTTGCTGTTGCGCTATGAGAAATATTTAAATATTATTTTATTTGTTGCTCCAGGAAATACTCTCACTAATGCTTTGGCCTTTATGCCTATAATTGAACAGCAAATTGGTTGAAAAGCTGAAAATTGCTGAAAATTGTGAATCGATTCAGTTGTTTTAAGCCCTTAAAAAGCCGTAGCTTTTTTTGAAATATTCGTGCCATTTGCACGGCCATAAAGAAATACTCATAAATAAGAGAATTAGAAAAATGGCTATAAAAATGCTGTGCAATTGGCATCCAGTTTCGGTCAATAATAAAGCGAACAAAGTATCGGCTGCCACTGATAAAATTGCAGCCAAAGCCGTTTTAATGAATGGCCAACACGTTGCAGCCGCAACAGCAACAACAACAGCACCAAGAGCGGGCGCAATTAATTCAATTAATTATTTATTTATGTATTTATTTATATTTTGTTAAAAAATAAAATAAAAAGACATGCAATGCATGCAATTCAGATGGTGGTAATAAATTTGATTCGTGGCCAATTGGGCGAACGGATACACCCAAGTGTCTGTGTTAAGCACTGTGTACATGTATGTGTGTGTTGTGTGTGTGTGTGTGTGTGTGTGTGTGCTTGCAAATTACAAGCAATTAAAGCCAAAAGTAAAGCGACGCGTTCGACGACATTAAAATGAATTTTATGTACCAACATTTTGATTGCAAACGCATACAAATCATATAAAGGGTGACTTTATTTAAGAGGCTTTCGTTTCAATTTTTTATAGTCTTTTTGAATGCGACTAATTGTGAGGATGAGCTGAGATGAGTTGTTGTAATGCTCAGAGCTATTTAATGTTGGGAATTGTCTGTGTGCGTGCTTAATTCGCTGAGAGAAATTTAGGTATTGAACAAAGCATTATTCATAAGAAGAGACCAAAGGCTCTCTGTGGATAGTATTAAACTACAAAAAAATAAAAGCTTAAGTGCTGGAGTATTCCATTATTTATGAGTTGTTCTACACGTATTAAGTGTGTATTTTTATTGTATATAAGCATAGGTGATAAACATTTTCTTCTAAAAAGTAGCACGTTTCAGTAATAAACACCCTGTACCAAACTCTTTGCCCGCTACAGCCTTTCAATTAAAATAATATTTTTCCGTGCCAATCATGGCTTTTGCAGCCGATTTTGGTGAAAATGCACATTTTTAGTTAGGCTCAATAAAAAGCTCAAATATACCCAATTTTGTTGCGATACCAAGAAAAAAAATAGTTTTTACTTGTAGTACTAAGAGTATTTGCGGAGTATAACGATTTTTAAGAAGGTTCAGGTTGTAGTGAAGGACTTTTTAAAATTCATGAACACCGAATATTCGTTAGATAATATCTTAATATATATGTATGTACATCAACAAACAAGTTGTCGGTGCTAAGTTTAATTTATATCCAATAAGTCAAATAGAAAATCTTTACGTAAAGAATGATTATTGCACCTATATGGTTTAAAACTTCTCGAAACAAACGGTGAGATGTATAGACGTTTGGCCGGACAGACAGACATGTCGATTCAGATCATTATGCTATTCATATATATACCTATATCTTGGAGTCTACCACGTTAGATTCATTTGGGATTTGGACTTTATAATATGCCCTTAAACTTTCGGGCCAGGATAATAAAATCAACTCTACACGTTCTTAAATTGTACAAAAATACAATTCAGTCACTAATTGTATTTAGTGGGATACATGTAGATTCCAAAAGCTATAGATAGTTCAGTTCCAGTATGGACTGAAACGTTGTCTTGTTAAACATAAATAAATCTATTTGGAAACCCAAAAAAATTAATCATCATTCTTCAAAATATATGTCAACAGCATTACTTCAGTTGCCATAATTTTGTAAAATTTTACAAAGGGATGTATATGTTGTTGGTCTGAAAAATAGCGATAGGCAAACATTATGCCAATACGTTGGGAAATTTAAATTCTAGGAACCTGAGAAGATATAGCCGGAATCTATTAGTTATAAGATAACTCGAGTTGTGCACGAATCAAGAAATTATGCTTTGTACTCGTATGGTTTTGGAAATGCTGTAGAAATTCAAAAAGATTACATTTGCGCTATAAATGTTGAGTCCAGAAGATGTCTAAATTATATTCGTAGGTATGTTTTACATGTATGTAAATGGAATGTTGTAACAGAATTAAAAGAACACCCTTTACATATTAACGTGTGTGCTTGTGTTTCGTAGCGCGTGTACAGCTTAAATATTTGCACAAATTATTAAATAAAAATTCAACTTGGCGTGCGCGTCTGCATGAGTGGCCGGACTTGGATGGGTCGTTGTCGTTTGTTTGCCGGAGCCTCTGCGTGCAGCGCATATAGAATAAATATTTAAATAAAAAGACGCAGGGCAGCACAACGGGTGGCCTCTCACCTGCTCTCAACTGGTACCCACTCGATAGGAGCAACCGAGCAAAAAAAGAAAAAAGAAACTACCTACTGACTTCATTTGCATAAAAATTAATTTTGCATGTCATCTATTTGTATACATATTGTTGTTGTTGTTGTTCTTGTTGTTGTCGTTGGTGTTTTGGTGTGCTCTGCTGATTTTTCTTTTCTGATTTTTCCGCTTTTTTCTCTTCACTCTCTCCACTCTCTTCAACAGCAATTGCAAGCCATGTCCCGTGGCCAAGCCTACGTTCCTGTGCGGCGCCGACAACAGAACCTACTCATCACTATGCAGATTGGATTATCACAATTGCATACATTCGACATCCATACGGATTGCCTGCAAAGGATTCTGTCCATGCAAGGGTAAGTTGCATAGAAATAGGAATAGGCAAACACAAATGGTGACAGGCAAGATGACAACTTGTATAATGCTCGATATACTCACCACCGTATAAGGACTTGCTGGCACTGCCGCAATCAAGAGCCTTCGCAAGAGACTGACCCAGAACAGGAACTGAACAATGGATATTGCCATGCCGAACCAATAGATTGCAAACGTGGTCGTATTTTCTGTTCAATTTGCCATTTTTATTTTCGCAATCATGGCAGCTCGCAATACTGTCCACGCAAACGCAAATGCAGATTGTATTGGCGGTAGAAATAATTGGATAGATCAGGCTAGCTAGCTACTTAGCTATTGTGTTTACTTTTAAAGTTTAATTCAGATGCTTTCTTTACCAATACCAGCAAGCTTCAATTTTAATAGATAATTCAATAAAAAATGTGAAACCTTTTGTGAAATATTGTGAACACAAAACTATAAATCTTTCTTATATGGTTCACGTTTTTTAAGACTTCATCAATAAATCAACACAATATTAATTAAGGATAGTTATGAATAATTCCTTTTTGAGGCGAGTCTGCGAAATTAACATTGATTTATGAGTAATTTTCAACTGCGTTCTGAAAGTTCGTATAATAACGAGTAAATAATCAGGCGGCTTTGAGGTCTGGTAAGAAGATAGATTTTTACCAATAACGCGCTTGAAATTATTGTTGAAGTTATTTTGTTCCATAAATGTCAGCAAATAATCATCCATACCGAAAAAATGGGGATTGAATAAGTGTACAACTGTATCTGAGATGGTACATTAGAAGCTTTTCGCTTAGAGATTTTGAATAGTCAGTTTGCTATGTTTGCTATAAACATAGCGTTTAAATTGCTTAATTCCCCGTACTATAACGTACTAATAACTCTCCTTTTAGGACAGATCTTAAATAAAGCAGCAATTAAAATTGCTTATTGGACGCAGCATAATGCAATTTGTTATAAAATAAAATGCTGGTTTAATTAGAAAAATAGTAATAGCTTTCAATCAATAATAATTTTCTACTTGCCTGTTTATTTCACAAACACAGAAACATGTAATGCATTTAGAAACTGTAAAAATCGTTGAATTCTTTAAACTAAACGATGTAATGCGATTATATGAGGATTTAAAGTTCAATTGAACCAGTTTGGTGAATTTATTTTCAGCCTGCATTGTATTTGTATTTGTTGACGCATTTTAATTAGCACGCCCAACTGTACTTGCGCAAATGTTTTAATTTGGCGCACAAAAACAAACTGCAACGAAAAAAAACATTAAAAGTTGTTTGCATTGCTATGCGTCTGTTTTATTGTGATATTTTCAAGGGGATGGCGCAGCTGCATACAGGATGGTGGCAATTAGCGCCAATTCAGCCACCATCCCATCCCAACACATCACCTCACCCCCGCTGAGCATATACGAGTAAGCGTTTAAAGCAAAACAATTAAAAAGAATTTCAATTACAAATTTAAAACAAAGTGCTCCCCTCCCTCCTACTGTGCATTGCAGGAGAACTTGGCTTCAGCATAACATTTATTAAATATTTAATAGGCAGCCTAACAAGTGGAGGCCATTGTTCTATAGCGCACAATGCAAGGCAAACCACTCAGCTAGCCAGCCAGTCAGTCAGCCAGCACAACAAACACAATAACAGCAAGAGCAGCAACGTTAATTTCGCCGTTTTGTACAGATGGAAGCGCATTGCAAGTTCCTATACTTGTTTTTAATGTTCGTAGTATAGCCAGAAATAAAATACATAAAATAGAAAAGACGCCTCAGTGCATTGCCCACAAAAGTATGCTATAGAAAAGCGAGAGAAAAAACAAAATGCTTCTTGCTCCTCCCCCACTACCATTGCCGATTGGCTTACGTGCAATTTTGTTGCTCGGCATTTTTCAGAGAATGGCGATGGAAAACGTTTGCAGCGCATTGGAGAGCGCGGATATGGCAAGTACAATAAGAAGAGCAGTCTGGAACAGCAGCAGCAGCAGCAACAACAACAACAACAACAGCAGCAGGCCTATAAGGACAGCAGCAACAACAACATTATGATGAATAGCGGCAACATAATGGGCAACAATAACAACGACTTCAATACCATTATGAATGTAAGTAAATATGTGCACAAGGGGTTGCTCGATGAGCGATTGCAAATCGATTTGCTAAAACGATATTTACACGCCCCCTCACACAGGATAAGGAGGATAACAATCGCCACTACAATCACATCAATGCTCAATACACCTTCACGCCCGAAGAGATCAAATATGACAACAAGCACTACAAATATCTCAAGTACACCGCCTACAAGAAGGTGAGTAACTGAAAGGGTGCATGAGTGTTAAGTGGATGCGCGTATGAATGGATGGTTGGATGTTCGTGTATATGGATATATCACTGTACTGTGGGAAGATAAATTTCATGATGTTATCGCAGGGGACTGACTTGGACAATTGTTTCTGTGTTTCTTCACTTATCATGTCGAAGAAATGTTGATTGTGGGAATATTTTGTTGTTGCTTTTTTTTTATGCATTATGTTCATTGTTCATTCGATCTTCCAAAGCTTTTCTGATTCTATATTGGATCGTTTGATAAGGAATTCTAGCTTGATTGCTTTTAAATGCTTGCTTTTAAATTAAGAATATGAATTTCTTGAAAATAAAGCACACTTTTCGGTGGGAAATGCTTTTAAAAACTGTTTTGAAAGCACAGAAAAGAGAACAATATTGAATTTTATTATTTTATCAAATTATTATAATTGGAATTTGCTTTTGAACACTATTTAGAAAGTACAGAAAAGAAACATTTTTCAAACCTTACCAATGAAATAGGTTTGTAGTTTTAATAATAATTGGAATATTAATAAGTATATTCGAATGGGGACATCTTTTGAAAAACATAACCGATATGGTGTGATATTTAAATGATCGTAATAAAATCACGCTCAACATTTTGGGAGCACATCACTGCAGAGCGAATTAAAATGACTGTATAATGTTTGAGCATTGAGTTTAATAAGCACGTCCTTTTCTCTCCCTTATTCTATGCCTTCAAGGATGCACAGTATCAGGAGGACAAGCACAAGATGCGTAGCTACAACGAAGTGGTGGAGAAGCAGCAACAAAAATATAATAAGAACAATAACTTGAACAACGGTAAGAAGAACAAGAAGCCATTTAAAAAATTTGATTCTAAGAAATGGAACAATTGCCCGCAGGCTATCCTTCGAAGTCGGCCGACTGTAAGCCACAGCAACTGACCGCGATTGGCAACCGGCTGCTCGACTGGTTCTCGGTCATCATGGCAGATAGCAAGAAGCGGCGCCAGCACAGTCAGAAATCGAAGGCCCACTTCCCACCAGCCTGCAAGACCGAAGCCAAGTGGATGTTTGGTCATCTGGATCTGAACAACGATGGGTTGTTGTCGCTGCAGGAAATGTACGATCTGGAGCATGACCAGAACGAGCGCTGCATTAAGCCATTCATCGATACCTGCGATCTGGACCAGGACAACTCGATAAATACGCGCGAATGGTGCCGCTGCTTTGAGAAGACCGATCGTCCCTGTGCCGCAGTGCGTCGAAGAATTGCCGGCGACTTTGCAGGTGAGATAGGTACAGGTGGAAATTTCTCAAGCTACATAACACTAATGTTCTCTCTTTTCCTTTTGAATTGTTGAGTTGGTTTTTTGCGTTACGTTTTCTCTCGATTGTATGTATGTAACTGTGTACACACACACACACACACAAACGACCAAGAAAAGACATCAACAAAATGAAAAATATATATAATTGTGCAACAAATTTTAAGCTAAGAGCCAACAGCTTAAATAAGCCAAGCTGCAATTAAATTCAGACTGACTATGGCTTTATTAAGTTTTCTTCTCTGTCTTACTCTTTCTATATCTTTATATATTTCTCTCTTGCTTTTTCTCACACCTCTTCTACGCTTTGTTGTGTCTGATTTGTGCTATTCCACCTACAATTTTTACACTCACTTGAACCTTTTTGAAAACTTTAATCAAGCGCCTGACCGCTGAATTTAAACGCCAACACATACACATTTTGCTAGCTACACACAAACACACATATACACAGGAGTCACCTTGTTGCTCTTTCTCTGATTTTTTCCAACAAACTTTTGTTTTGTGCTCGCTTTCTCCTCCTTCTCTTTCTCTCTCTCTCTCTCTCTATTGCTTTGTCTTTAAGCCCAACGCAACTTTTAAGCCAACAAATTAAACAGTTTTAACAACAACACACTAAACTTTTTCCGTGCTTTTGTGTTGTCATTATAAACTTCAGCTTCTATATACTTGTATACATACTCGTATACTTAATTTTTATAAAACAATTTTTACACGACCCCAAAACACAAAAACAATACTAAACAAAAACTTCGCTTGCGCTGCTTTTGACTTTCTGCGATGGGCTGACATACTCTAAATTGTTCTTGCTTCTTTTGTACTTTATTGTTGTTGCTGTCGCTGTTGCTGTTGACGTTGATGCTGATGGTGCCGTCTCCGCTGCTCCTCTAAACTAATTAGGCGCCTACGCACCCGACTGCGACATACAAGGATTCTACAAGCCAACACAATGCCATAGCTCGGTGGGCGTTTGTTGGTGCGTGGACAAGCATGGCGTTGAGTTCGCCAACACACGCACACGTGGCAAACCCAACTGCGGTAAGTATGCCACACACACACACACACCCACACACACACACACACTGCAACAACTAAGGCAACAACAAAATGTATATTACCAAGTTAAATAGTAAGTGGCAGTGGCTTGTGAACAAGCATTGTTGGCCTTCATTGGCGCACAAAGGGTGTATTTTAAATGGGTGTACCATTTTAAACAAAATTATGAGCCACTTAACTAGGTATGGGCTGAATCCAGATTTGAAGAGGTAGCGCAAGGGACTGTATCCATGGGCAAAGCTTTTTTGTTAAGGCGTACATACGATTTATTTAATTTTGCATTTAGTCGACAATATGTGTTCTCGGCATAAGGTAAAGAGATGCAAACGTTGAAATACAGCTCTGTGGCTTTCTTCTCATCTGACAGACTCTCCTTAGTAGATTATTATCGTTATAATATGTAATACAAATAAATAATTATTTTATTTATTTTTAAGAAGCATAGGCAATTAAATTTATGTTTACTGCATATTTTTACGGAAAAGAAGCACTTAAAGCGAATAGAAAGAGCTCCTAAAGGGCGCCTTATATTTCTCGTTAGCTTAAGGGCAACTTTGTATTAATTGGTTCGACTTATTCGTAAAACAATAGAGCCTAATTGGATCAACCGATATAGAAACGTATCTGTCGACAGATATACACAAATCTTCGCAATAATGCGGAGCTTCCTAGTTCCGTCTTTCGAATAGCTCATTATTTAACTTATTCTGCAGATACTTAAGCGTGCGTGATTTTTCAAAAGCAATATTTGGAATTGACTTTAGCTTGGGTCTACACCTGAGCTATAAGGTGGGCGTGGCAGGCAAACGGCAACTACACACTTACAATGAGCACGCTCGTGTTCGTTCAGCAACCAAACACATGTCGTACAAGCGGGCGTATACGTAATCTGCTTAAGCAGTCAGTCTAACCAACAGGCTTCCAACCACACTGCTTACGCATGTACACATGCCTTTATACATACATATGTACTATAGGTCCAATTTGTGTGCATGTATGTATGAATATACATTCGAACAAAAGCAGGAAGCAGCTCATTTCGGCTTAACTTTGTAGTTATTAAAGTTGGATCGGTTCAGCTCGTAATTGCGTTTCGTGAGAGCAAGTATGTATGTAGATACATAACACATGAGGTCTGGCCACCTCAATGGGCATTTTGCATTCGAAATTAGATGCTTGAAGTGCCAGCTAATTCAATATGCAAGATAAAATGGGCAGATTTGTGTCTAAAGACAAGTCGGTACATAAAAACTAAAGATGAGCCCGAAACTTTATGTCCAATTCCTATAACAAGCTGTTGGTCGATAAACAAAGAAGCAAACAAACAGATTCGTTATGGTAACCTTGCTTGGGGGCATTGGGGCATGCATAAATTTAATTTTGCTCAAATTTAATTTGCAATTCACCTCTCACCCCCTCCCCGCTTATTTACAGAGTCCGTGGTAAATAATGCCGCCTCGCTCACATCCGATGACGAGGACGAGGGCGCCGACGACGAGGACAGTGCGGAGGGCAGCGCCGATCAAATGCTGGTCTTCTAAATGCCCATGGCGACGTTGGCTCCGTTTATTCCATTGAGCAGGCCTGCTGACTGGCTCACGAAATGGCGGCGCATTTCTGTGGCATAAAAAATGAAGGAGAAAATCATGAAAATCCATACGTATAGTAAATAGGCGCAAGGACAGCAGCAGTAGCAGAGGCGAGTCGGCGAGCATTATGGCGTAAGCGTTAAAAAATTAATATTATTATTATGACTAAAATGCAAAAAAAAAGAACAACAACAAGATAACGAAAACACAACAAGAACAGAATGAAGAAAACAAAAACAAAAAGATAAATGTGCAGTAGCCAAGTAAGCGTTTTTGAGAATAAAAAAGGAAAATTAACTACATATAGAAAGAGCAGCCGCAGAAACTCTCGCAAAATGTTACAACAAACCCAAAAGCAAGCTAAACTCATCCTTCGATTTAACGGAAGCGAAACGGAAGCAAAGGCAAGGAGAGAAAAAGTGTAGCATAGTTCTCGGCGCATTGTTAAAAAAACGGAAGTTAGATGAGCAAGCAAAACCAAATCATATTGTATTTAATCAATGCTAAGAGTATAGCTTATAACAGCTCTATATGCGAGTAAGCCCAACACAACAACAACCACAACACAAGTCATCAATTAGTCCAATGAGCAAATTTCGATAGCATAGCGCAGTTCTGTTTTATTTTTTAGATGCCTAGCAAATGCACTGCAGCCATTTTGAATGCGGTTCGTTTTGTTTGAAAAATGAAAAAAAATAAATAAATAAAAAAATAAAAATAAATAAACGCTAGCAATTTGTTCTTGTCGTTATCACACGCAAATCCGTCGTTTAGCTTTTAAAGAAATTAGTATATAAATTAAAATTTTATTGGCTTGTCCTTCTTCTCTTCTTCTTCACCCACCACACTTGAGCGTTTACTTTCTTCTATCTACTACCTAGTCGACTCTCTCCTATCTCTTTCTGCTTTCACAAACGTAACACACGCTAAAAATTCCGCCCAAAAATAAATTTATGTGATAGGTTTTGAAAAATATCGTATCTAACAAAATGTTACAAAACGAAAGGCGAACACTTCACAGCACGTAGCAAACATTTTTTGTGCGCTTTTTTCCATACACAGACAAGCTGTTAACTGGCAGACTAACTAGCAATGGAATGCAGATACTACTAAGTGAGAAGAAAAATGATTTAAAATTGAATGAACAACCCAAAACATACTTGTATATCCTACATAACTGGCAAATTGTAGGCAGTAATTTTGGAGTAGTGGGATATGTACGAAAAACTCATAGTAACATACTGTACTTACAAAAAAAAGAACGCGTTCATTAGTGTTTAAAAGCATTGCCATAGACGATACATAGAACTAGGATATATGCAAACACACACACACACATGCTGATGTGAAAGCCAGGCAAGAGTTGATAGAGCACGGCAATGAAAACAAATGAAAACAATAAACCGAACACAGAAAGACACAGGTGGATATTAAGGCCAGGGCTACTGAGATCTATGAAATTTTTCAATGGACATATACTTCTTGTACTTCAGATACGGCTGCAGACTGAGAGAGAATCTGTTGTTATCGCATCAAAACATTCCTCCTTCAGGTATATGTATATGTATATGCTTTACTATAGTTAAGGCACATGCGTAAAACATGTACGGATGTTAAAGTAGTTTCCATATAAAGGTACAATGTACCAAGAAACAAACAAGGTTTTATACCGATGTACTTATTACAAATTTCAATAAGACTTTGACTTGCATGAAAGCTATTATGAAACCACTTGCTTATTGAGCCTTAAATCACTTCAAAGATGTCCACTTCTGAAAGCCTCCTGGCCCACTGTGCGCCGTACCTAATTAGGTGTTTATTGTGTACATTTTTGTTAAAAAAATTTACGCTCAATTATCCTGCTCTACTCCTTTCAAACAGTCCAAGGCCCAGCATTAGCAATTCTGCTTACACCGAAATAACTAACTGACTAACTGTTTAAAATTTACATTTGGGCATCGTTCTGCCTTGCCGGAAACGAAAATTTGCTATGAACATTTAATGAGTACTACATTTAACCTGCAATCACAAAAAAACAAAAACCAAAAATACACCGCAAATCAAATCTACAAATCTCGACATAAAGCATATATAATATGAAAAAGTATATACGACACATACTACATATAAACTAAAATAAGACGTAAACTTGATAAATGGCAAATGCTTATATATACATACATATATATATATATATATAAATAAATATATATAAACTAGTATGTTTAATGTGTAAGTAAATAAGTGGCATAATTAAGTGTGACAGCAACGGAAATAAAAAATTAGACCTTCAGAGTGTTTTTCCTGTATTGTAGCCAATTTTGACAGCATATTGCGCATAATTTCGAAAGCAGATGTAACTAATTTTTAAAACATTTATGCAAATAAACGAAACACACCCATACTCTCATACTAACGATACAAAAACAAAACATGAAATGAAAACAAAAAAAAAAAAACATGCAAATGCTTGCAAATTATAGCAAATTGTAGTTTCGCTGCGCCTGACAAACAAAACATGCATACGAATAAACTTTTAATTATAGTAACCAAACAAACAAAAAACTGGAATGAAAACCGACGAAGAAGAAGAGTCAACAAAAAAAAAAAACAAAACATTAATAATAGCAAAGCATTAATAACAATCATTTAAAGTCAAGTGAATAGAAATGGAAAATGTGTTTTCGGCTGCATTTAAAATTTATGCGTGGTGTACACAACACTTTATAAACTGACTATAAAATACGATTGTATTTATGTATGTACTAACTTATTGTATTTATCATGCAAATCACATTCCACTTGTATTTAGTGCGCCCAGAGAGAGGAAAACGAATACAGAAACCAATCCAATCCAAGCAAACCAAAGCAAAGCAAAACATAAAACTAACTTTCGCACTAAACTCCATTTTCGCAAAGCAGTTCATCTTTCCATAGTTTTTCATTTATTTACCTAACTTGGCACTACTTGTAAAAGAGAATTAGTCCTCACAGCCATAAGTGAGTAGCAATGGCGGCAATAGCATGGACATGAATTATAACTTCTGAATATACACACCAAGTTGTTTTTTAAGATAATACTTATTGCAAGCGTAAGTTAATTACCAGTCATTAAATATACAAATGTAATACCAAAGTATACAGCATTAAGTTTTCTGTTTTAATTATTGCAAATGTACGATTGATTTATATAAAAGAAGAGATCAATAAATATCTATTATTTAATGCAAACTGAAGTGATTTGTGGAGGAGGAGGGCTTGTGAAAAAACACATATGAATTGTACATGGGCTTGTGCCATGATGTGGTTTCTTTAATAAAACTGTTGAGCGAGACATCAATTTTAAAATGACAGTGCCAACAACTTCTAGCTCGACTCAATACAAACATGACAGATGTTGAGGACTTGGACAATGTCTGACGCTGCTCATAGATCTCAATCGCATGCTCTTATTCCTGCGCTTCAACATGTTGAGCTCCATTGAAAATAATATTATGATTGATTTATATTTCACATTTCAAAACCATTTTATAAATCATGTAAGTATGAACAATGAAAATTACAACTCATTATATTTCGGATAAATAATACATTTTTGCTATGAGAATTCAATTTCCAGCTGCCAGTTGAGGTGTAAAATAAATAACAAATTGGTTAAAAATAAGCAATTGCTATGCGGCACAATCCCTAGTCCAAGATTGGTTAACGTTAATGGAAAATACACAATGCAAGTGGACCCCATTTGAGGAACAAAGTGGACCAACAGCTGGCTCTTGTATTTAAAGGTAAAGGTAAACACGTTAACAATGTAAATTATTGGCAAATGAGAGCTTGATTTAAATGTTTTTGATACAACAAGGCCCGAAAATACAATTTAACGATATCTCGTTTAAACTTTATTAAAATAAATAAAATAGCAATTAAATTTGCATAAGGCGATTGAAGAGTGTTCGTAAAACCAGATGCAATTAAAATTTCAATTATGCACAAACAAAATAATAAAACGGCATGTGATTTGAATACGAAAGCTTTATTCATTTCATTAGTTAAGTGAAGCGCAAATAACAAAGCCAGCAACCCGCATTTAAAATATGTGCAATATTCATAAAACAAAAAACATAATCACAAGCTTGTTGTTGTTGTTGTTGTTGCAGCTCACATTAAACAAATTGTCACAACTTGCGACATTTAAACGAGCCATCACACACCTATCTATCCACATACTAAGTGTATAGTATGTATACTTGGTGTTGGCCACAATGCTTCTATTCTTTAGAGCGACTACCACCATGGCTATAATAATAAATTTTCAGCACTAATTTTATGCACACAGCAACAACAAAGCAACGAAAGTGACAACAACATAACGCGCAACAGGCACACAAAACAATTATGGCACAGATTTAAATAAATTTTAGTTTCTAAGCTCGTCGGCTGAAGCGGGGGGTGCGGGGGAAACGGCACTGTCGGCGACAAAAAGTCAACGCCGCGTTCATTTAAAGTTCACACGCTAGTTGGCTGCGCTTTGTCGTTCGTCGCTGCTGCCGTTGGCGTTGGTGTTGGTGTTGGCGGTAGTGGCAGTGGTGCTGGTGGTGGTGGCGGTGGGGTCGGCGGTTCAGGGTGGTGTCAAGGGTGCAACACGTCGGTAATGGCTGTGGCAACTTTGGCTTGCCGTTCAAACGGAAGTTGGCTGCGACTAGACGAGTGACAATTTGGAAAATGCCAAGCGCTCTCAGACACACGCACACTGTCAACTTTTGTGGGCTCTGAGTCAGTCAGTCAGTCAGTCAGTCAGTCAGCCAGTCAGTCACTTAGTCAGACTAATGCTTGATTACACTATGCAGCGTGATATGCCAAAGTCTTAGTCTTGGTTAGCGAATCGTACGGAAAGTAAAAAAATACCTTACTCGTACCATTAACTCTTTGGAGAATTAAGAATAAAGTTACAAAAAATAAAAACGTTAAACACATTGTTAAAGACACACGTTAAAGACACTCTCTTGACTGTTATCAATCGTGAGTTTAAAATTAAAATTAAATCTTTGAAATTGAAATGATAATAAAGCACCTGCCGATTTTCTAGGTATTTCTGCAACCTGTTACAAGTATTTGGTCATCTGCTTTATTTTTAAATTTTTGAGGAGCTGCCAGATATTTTTGTTGCATAAAATATACTATACTATACTATACTATACTATACTATACTATACTATACTATACTATACTATACTATACTAAAGATACTATTTATATTATATTTACAAGAGTCTTTCGACACGATTATTTCAGTTTAAATACGCAACACATTAATAGCAGTTTTATATAAGGGATGCAGACCCCTGTTGTAGACTTAATCAAATAATTTACAATGGGGATTGGTAAGCGTTACATTCTGAGCATTCCAGTAGCTTCCTTTGAAACCGAATAAGCTAACAATTTATGGGAATTGAACGTACACTACGTATCATCGAACTTGTCCACTATGCTGCCATATATAATGCTATTGGTTTTTAAAAGTAGCTTTTTAACAACCAGGTCAAGCAATTAAACAAGCTGCTTGACTACTGCAGTATTTTCCAGATATTCGTTTTAAAGAAAACAGCTGAAATCTGACCATCAACTTCAGGGCGCGTCAACATTTCTGTGGACAGCCTTGCAGGCGTCCATCATCAGCTCAAAAAATGTCGTAGCGAGCACTGAGGCAGTATATAAGATAAGCGCCCAAAAATACTGCATACATATATGCTGAATGGCGAGCCACTGGGGCATTGAAGGCAACGAAGTGGCGGACACTCTGGCAATGGAAGGAACAAAGGAGGCCCAAGCCAGCACGAACATCCTACTAATCTGCCTAAGAGCACTTTTCAGCAGCTGGGAGCATAATGGCAGCACGAAGGCCAACTGTAAGATCGCCCGAACCAACCAACCTGACCCAATTCCTTCTGCAACTCCCATGAAAGGAATGTAGACCCCCAATCGGCATACTTACTGGCCATGCCTGCATTCCTAGAAACTGCATACAAGTGCGCCGGAACACTCCTCTGCCATTGAAGGACGCTGCAAAATGATGTTTTCGAAGGATGCTGATGGATTTAAGAATCGCTTTTCAATACTCAGATACTTTACTCTACAGCTTCTTATGTGTCTAATTTTCGATTATGAAACCATAAAACTACAACAACAAGAACAAACCAAGCAAATTCTCAACCAATTAACTTTTTCAAAATCTAACAAGCTACGCGTGTACTTCAAAGTTTTGGAATACTCATAGAAGGTTTTTAAAATGTTTGAGAGCATGAAAATAAATGTTCTATAATGATTGTTTTTTGATATCATGGAAGACCAGTGTTGGACAGTGTTATTTGACGATGCCAAGTGGCAAAGATTTTGGCTTCTGTGCAGCTGTGTCAGTAATATGTTTAATTAAATTGTTGTCTTGTTTCTGCTAATGCTGTTGCCAAAATATTTTAGTAACACACACATGTACATACAATACATACATATGAGTGTATGTGTGCGCGCGTATGTTGAGCCGCAAATTTGCATAATTCAGTGAATCAAACAATGTGACAAGTTGCATGCAACGCATGGTTGCGCGGCCCTTACACATGGGGCTCTTTCTGTGACTGTCGTTGTTGTTGTTGTTGCTATTGCTTCTGTCTGTGTTGTTGTGGCGCCGTTGAAGCATTCAAGCGCAACTTTAGACAGCGCTTTATAGGCCCACTGCCCTCCTGTCCCCCTGCCTCCTTGCCACCCTGCCCCACTGGCAGTTTGTCTGCCTGGCTGATTATGCGGCTACTCAAAAGCCTACATGTCGCATAGATATGTCCCAAGTGAATAAGTTGCTGTTGTTGTTGTTGTTGCTGTGCAGGTGGGCTGTCGCTGCTGCCGCTGCCGCCGCTGTCTGACCCCCACTTGGCCCCACTCTAGATGACTTTTTGGCATTTTTAATTAGGCAGAACTTTATGCCATGTGTGGCGGCTGGCTGGCAGCTTTAACTTTTTTGTTATTCTTCTCAGCGCTCCTGAGTGTGTGTGTGTGTGTGTGTATGAGTGGGTGTGTTTAAAGTATGTGTGTGTGCATGTGCAGCTTACAACTTTTATTTTCATGCGTCATTCAGACGTCACTTGGTCGCCGTGTCGTGTTTGTGCCTGCGTGTTGGCGCGCATTCTATACACAATTCCACACACTCGCACACACACGCTCATACACAAATAAGCACATACGCTTTATAGTTCAAGGTGAAATGCTAAACTTTGTCGAGCGCGCGTTCAAAAAAACTCGCAATGCCGCCATGCCGCCACTACCGCCTTTCTGCCTTCTGCTGCCCCTTTGGCCTTTTGTTTATTGGACTGCGACTGCGGCGCAAAATTTTAAAGTCACTTTTAATTGTTGCACATTGTTGTTGGCCCTGTTGGTGTCGCGTTCTTGTTCTTTGTCACGCTAATAAATGTTTTACACTGTTGATAGTTTGACCCTATTATTTCGTTTGGTTTGTTTTTTGGCTGCAATGCACCTGTGGCACACACACATCTGTGTGCATGGTATGTGTGCGTGTGTGTGTGTGTGTGTGTGTGTGTGAGTGTTGGTTTGGGGCTCTTTTCATGTGAGCACAGAGCCTGCAAATATTTTGTCACTGAATGAGGGGCACAAAGCTTATAAATTATTACGTATACGCAGTGTTGGTCTGTAAACTGTAAGCAAAAGTAAAAACTAAAGGTCCAGAAAAGAAAAGTGTCAAGGCAACTTAATTGATGAGGTAGAAGAGAATTTCTGGAACGTGTAATCTAAAATATGGGTAGGTAATATATTTAGAAAAGAATGTATCCTGTTCAAAAAGTCAGCCAACAAATGCTAAATGTAAAATGTTACTATTTAAATAACAATTGATGCAGTTATATTGTACATACTACGTGAGGTAGTGATTAGTCTGTAGTTTCTATATGCCTAGAATACGACAACATCGGAGAGAGAGAGAGAGAGAGAGGGAGAGAGAAAAGAGAGAAGGACTATTAGCGGCAGTAGGGAGACTTCTAGCTATCGTCAGTTGGAATTTATTTTTTGGATTCCTAAGCCGAGACATGACGCGTGTATAATAGATACTAAACATCTTGAATTTCTATGAATTATCGTATTATGATATTATTAAATATAAGTCCACATTCTATTGCTTTAAATAAAATCCCACATACTCGTATGCTATATGCTATGCCGATTTATACTTCTTCATATCGCTTTCTCTGCCAAAAAAAATATTAATAGCTTTATAAACCAACAAATGTGTGGGTTTTGGGCTCTGAATTAGCATTAATCGCAGCCAACGGGTGCATGAAAGGTAGCTGAAAAGAGATGCTTTAAGTAGAGAGAGGAAGAGTTCGATTGGTGGGAGGTTAGAAAACTCGCTTTACGATATCAGTGGTGCATCTGTTGAGGAAATAGGCAAGGAGTTCCTTGTTGCGAAATCAACATCTTCGACAATCAATACAAGTATGTGGACGAACACAGCACCACGAACTTTTCTATGGTTAGCCCTCATTTGCTTAAGTGAATCACAATTTATAGCACCAAACCGCGTATTGATTAAATTTGTAGCTGCTATTAACCAAAATATAAATATGTCGATGTAATCAAAATTCTGTAATTTGAGATGAGTTCAAATTAATGGGCTAACAAATTATCGTTGCGCTACTAATGACATTACCACTCTAACTAAACTAACCTCAGCTGGCAAGCAATCACAACGCATAGCCATAATCAACTGATCACCCACTAGCCAATTTAGTCATTGCGTGTGTCCATCCATATTTACGTGCACATATATTTAATGTCAATGTAGGTTGCTTCGCACTCAACCAAGACATTTGCTTGCTGGTCGTACATACTCGTACATAATGTACATAGGTGCTGGGCATCAGGGCTGGGCTGCTCTCGGCTGCGGCCTTGGCCAACTTGGCAATATACTTAAAGGGGGTCGCTAAGGTCGCCACAAGTCGATGCGGTGCTCATGTAATGGCTAATTATATGCCCTTTTACTGGATTGCTAATTAAATAAGTACGCTTGGCTAATTAGAAATCAAGCCTCAAAAGGAATTAATAATTACTCATACGCAATGTATTGCCAACTGCTTGCACACACAAGTACTTGCCAACAGCAATGCTCCAAAAATTGCTATGAGAACACAACAACAGGGGTATTCTTGCAACATATAGTACTCTTTACAAGCAGAGTAATACAAAAAGCTGAAGTGACTCTAATTTTCCCTTTTATTGTAATAAAATGTCGCAATTTGTTTTAAGTGATGATCTCTTTGTACATTGTGTAGAATTTAAATCCACATTTTTAATAGAAAACTATTTTTCAAACAAGTATGTATCAGTACTGATATGAAAAGTAAGGAATACTTGATTCAATACACTTGCTGGGCATATGATTGACAAACCAAACAACCGCTTAATTTCAAGTCAACGTTTGTTTCTTTTTTACACCAGAAAATATGCGAATCAACTATTAAAAATGTTAAAATCTAATATGTATATATCAAATCTAATTTAAATCAACTACAAAAAACTTAAAAACTTACAAACGAAATGCAATTTTTATTTGGGGTATAGTGATCAATAATATGCACTAAGCTACATAAGTATATGTATATAGTATACGCTCTAAACATTGAACATTTTTGAAGGCAATACTCAATAAAAAAAAGTCAAAAGATGATTGTAATACTAATTGTTTGCTTATTTGCTTAAGACTTTCGCAGTTGTTCAAATTGTTAATCAAAATAAAAATGTTTCTTAATGTTAATTAAAGTTCCGCCTCTAGAACACTAGATATAAAGGGATCAGATCTTTTGTACGCAAAAGTGTGTAATAAATCTTGTTATTTTTATTAACAGTAACAAGAATTGTAAGTGATAGCTGACAAGCACAACAAATAATCTAAAAGAAAGATATTAACATAAGCGATTTTTGTGGTTATTTTATCGTTATTACTGCTTTGTTTTGTGAATACCCTTACTAAAGCAGCAAAACAATAATATGTATGAAGAAGAAGAACAACAACAACAGCAATGACAACCACATAAATAAATTCAACAAATTTATCATTGGGCTGTTCATTCATTCACGAAGCGGCGGCAACGATAACAGCAACGAATACAACAACTGAAAACAAATTTTGTCAACGCTAAAACCACTGAACTGTTAAAAGTGCCATTGAATACAACAACATTGGCAACAAAAACAACCACAACAACAACAACAGCAAAAACAGTAGCAGCAGCAACAGCAACAGTTACAGAGACGCTGGGCCTGTCCAGGGCCCAACTGTGCAAACAGACAACGACAGCTACACACGCTCAGATGTGTTGTTGATAGATACCCATGTGTGGATGAGCACAGTGGGTGCTAAAAGTAGCTTCCTAACGCTTAAGAATGCACTGCCTCACTATATTATCCTTAAAAAAATTTAAAAACATTCTCTGGCTACATCTTTGTTTCAGATTCTACAGTAAAAAGGTATTCTTTGTAAGGTTGTGAAACACTCTCCCGCTCCATATTCTTTCGATTCATTCAAGGTTGTCTCATAGCGCCTTTAAATCGGCAGATCGGCTTATTACACTATTCCCAAAATAATTTATGAGGCGGAGATTCGTGTTTGTGGTATATTTTCCACAAACCTAATCATTTTTACCTTTTAGGTATAGGGTATACACATGTTATAAGCAATTACTAGTTCAATATAGTTGTTTAGTAAAAATTACTACTACTACTTTGGTGGAACTCTTAATATTCGATTTAATAACAAATAGATTCATATGAGAAGAAGATTGCTCCAAAGTAGATTATAATATAATTATATAAAGATTATATTATAATATAGGATAGGCTTATCTAATTCCCGAAAGTTTTAAAAGCCAATCCCGTGTCTGAGAATGTGCATAAATTTGGAATTGAGAAAAGGTTAATATATCGAAAAAGTCTTCTAGATTGCATTAACTTCTGTTTTATCAACACTTAATATTCGAGTTAATAACAAATGGATTCATATGAGAAGAAGATATCTCCGAAGTAGATTAGCGAGCTAATTTTGATCAAGAATTTTAGTCTAATATGGGATAGGCTTCTCTAATTCCCGAAAGTTTTAAATCCAATCTCATTTCTGAGAATGTGCATAAATTTGGAATTGAGAAAAGGTTAATACTTGTATATCAGAAAAGTCTTCTAGATTTTATCAACTTCTGTTTTATCAACACTTAATATTCGAGTTAATAATAAATGGATTCATATAAGAAGAAGATTTCTCCGAAGTAGATTCGCGAGCTAATTTTGATCAAGAATTTTAGTCTAATATAGGATAGGATTCTCTAATTCCCGAAAGTTTTAAAAGCCAATCTCGTGTCTGAGAATGTGCATAAATTTGAAATTGAGAAAAGGTTAATACTTGTATATCAGAAAAGTCTTCTAGATTGCATCAACTTCTGTTTTATCAAATAATTATACTGCAGCTGATTTCTTGTATTCTCATTACCCAAGCCTTTGATAGAAACTGTTGCTGAAATTAATCTGTGGTTTTTTTGATCATCATCATCATTAGTATGACACTCAATATTGTCGTGTGTTAGCCTGCCTCCTTATTTTCATTTGAACAGTCGCTGGATGTCTACATCTATGGCAATCAATCAACCCAACTCTACTTGGATTGGTCCGAATACTTATCGCTTGGAGTGTACACGCATTCGAATGTGAATGCATGTTTTGGGCCACCCCCGCTATCTACGAGGCGTACTCTTATCCGATACCTCCCCGATCCGATGTCGCAGACTATAAGCGTTAAATAGTTTTGTTTATTGCACATTGCCAACGAGCCAGCGAGCAATTCTGTTGCGACCACATCGGCCAGATCTAATCAGCGGAGTGTGGCAGCAACAGCGGCGACGGCGGCGTCGGCGACGTTGACATGAAGTTTCTCATACGCTCGGTTAGCCAGACCGCCCGCTCGATTGACGATGCTGTTGAGCAAAGGTATTCGTATAATTTACATACACAAAAGCACACACATTGTGTGCAGTTCGTAGCTGAGACTGCCGTTTGAAATTGAAATTGAAACTAAAGCTGAAGCTGAGCGACCGCCGAGCGGCTCATCTATTTGTAAGTTGGGAGTCGCGCGCGCCAGACGTGTGTTAAAAAAACGAAACGATAAAATAAAAAGAATACTAAAGTATAATTAAAAGTAAAATAAGGTATTACCAGCAAAGTGCATTTGCCTAATGGAAGTGTCAAATGGCGACTGTGCCATTGAGTGTGTGTGTGTGTTTGTGTGTGTTTGTGCGAACAACTAAATAATGCACAAGTGTAGGAGAAATATTTTAAACAATTAGCATATCAATGCTCGTAGTATGATCCCCGATGCCCCCAACTAATTGGTCTAAAATGTGTGCAAAGCCTAATTCATATTGCATGACAGAATGCTATCGTTTCTCGTGTTGTTGTTATTTGTGTTGCTGATGACCTGTTTGCATATGAAAATGTCTCCATTTACAAACAATTGCCATGCAAACAAATGTGAAAAGTTATTGATTCGTTTGTAAATAAAATTGAAAGTGCTAAAGCTAAGTTGTGCCAAAACAATATACACATACATATACATAAGTATGTGCATATGTGCATCAAACTTAAAAAGCCAACAAAAACAAAGCCCATTTACCGCCCCATTTACACATATTGCTAGTGCGTGCAATTTTTAGTCGATTTCAATTACATTTTACTATTTGCCAAATAATTTGCAATGCAATAAAAACAGCAACAACAATGGCAGAATCAATTTTATGCAAATTTATATTTGCAATATTTCTGCTAATAGTGCAGCAAAATATTAGCGGTAAGTATTAAATTTGTCAGTCCACAGGCCTCCTAGTATTTGGCTAATTTGTCATATTTACTCACAACAAACAAATCGATTATGCAGCATAAGCAATATTACTACTTTGCAACAACAAAAATACACTCAAAGAAATACAAAAGTTCGCTGTTACAAAATGATCCTTAATTAATGTGATTTGATTAGAATTTTTGGACGGTTTGGCAAAAGCTGTTGCTTCAGTTAGTCTTCAACTCTCGCTTCATATACCTTTTATCCCGATATAACAAATCGATTATGCAGCATACATTATTACAACTTTGCAACAACAAAAATACACTCAAAGAAATACAAAAGTTCGCTGTTACAAAATGATCCTCAATTAATGTGATTTGATTAGAATTTTTGGACGGTTTGGCAAAAGCTTTTGCTTCAGTTAGTCTTCAACTCTCGCGTCGTATACTTATTATCTCGAATATATTGCAACTTAAAGAAAAATGACTTTTCAATTTATTTATATACAGTTTTTAAGACGAAAACTGGCATTTAAACTGAGCAAAATAGTTGCAGAAATAATATGTTCTTCATATATAATTGTTATATGATAGAATAAGAAAACTTTTAAATGTGTTGCATTTCTTTTTATTAGTCAAGTTAATTGTTATCTTATAGCTCGCAATCACACTGTTTTTTGTTTAGGCTTAAAGGAAATGCGCGATTTCCCTCTAAAGAATAGGCCTCTATGAATTCTTGAAAGGTCATTAGAATTCGGTATATTTTACAAAATACAACTTAAACGGCTGAAAATACGCGCAAAGTTTATACTATCTATATTAATGATAATGCAATATTTTCAGTGAAAATAATACCTATGTGCTATAAAAAGCAAACTTTTATAATGTTGTTGGGTATTAGGACAAACATTTTAATTTGTAAAAGAATTCTAATTATTAGAAATTATAAATAATTGCAAAAATGAAACAATTTGAAGCTTTTTATAAGGTTTCTTAAAATGTAAATGTCCACATTTTATCTAATATATATCAGCTCTAGATTTAGATATTTTTATTTGACTATTTTTAGCGTAAGACGCCTTTGGTTTATCTGTTATTTTAATAAATAAATAAAAACTAAAGTCTATGCAAATGGCAAGAGTGTCCACCACACAGCAAAGAGACAAGTTTCCCTTATTTTCAGATATATGAAAAACTTTGGGCATTTCTTTTTCCAAGTGTATATATAGATAGTAGTTGTAGTTGTAAGTGAAGTGCAAATTACTAACAACCCCGAGCGTTCGCGCGTCGGACAAGTATTTATAGCCGCTTACTGCAAACACACACACAAGTATTCGCATAACTCTGCCATGCACTTGCACTTGTGATTTGCATTCAATAGAGTCGAGTTGAGTCGAGTCAAGTCGGGGCTTCAAGTGCAATCTGTTGTTGTTGAGCTTGAGGGCAAAACCAAAATGACGCAGATCGAGTTACGGGCGTGTGAGAGAACGCCGCGGGAGATGAGTTCGTAATTGTTTGGCAGAAAGTGCTTTGCTTAATTCTATTAATATATGGGAGATGTATAGGAAAAGGTACGCCGTAGTTTTTGTAATAAGGTTTTAAGCTTAACTACACAATTAAACACAGCTCATTTAGCTCTATTATGGGCTTTGTGTGATTTTTATTTCATTATGAACTTTATTAACATAGAACATACTCAACAAAGACGTGCTTCGTTTCACCATTGCTTCTTTCAATTTAAATCCAATTGAAAGCTTTATATAATTTAATATGTGAGAGATGACAACCAATTAATTCAATAAGCCCATTTTAGGCAAACATTGATGTTATTTAAAACAGAAATCAACCACTACATAGAACTGGGGCCAATGCTCCGGTGATGCAATATTGACTTCCTTCAAATATATTGAAGTGGCAGAGAAGTAGATAAGTAAAATGAATCTGAATCGACCAAATGGGAACTTCTGACAGGTCTAGTTCAGATATACTTGTAGGGATCTCCCCAGTTCCTAGTAGACAAAGTAGTTCTAAAGAACTTTACTTTTATGTCTAATTAATTGGAAAAACAATTCCAAGCAATACTATCTAAGCTATCAAAAGGTTAATGACAACTTGAATTAATTAAGGAAATACAAGTTTTAGAAATTATGTGTTAGTTGATAAACAAATTCTAACCTTTCAAAATGTATAAAGCCTTTAATGACATATTTAGTAAAATAATAAACTAAAGCAGTAAAATTCTTGTATGTACCCGTAAGCTGCTTTTTGGTATGGAAACAGATTTTGCCTATAAATTGTAGACTAATTTTTTTAAAGACAGCCAAACAAACAGGAAAAAAAGATGACAGGCTCCAAAAAACCGGCAATAAATAATATGAAATTTCTTATCATATTATTGGGTTTATTTATTGCCAAAGCGCCAAATAGACTAGCATAAAATAATTTAAAAAAAAAAACCAGATATTTGAAATAATAAACACCCTTTGAATTTTAAATCAAATCAAGTTGTACAAGTATGTCCGTAATATGTATTTATTTAAAATGAAGCTAATTAAGGCTCTGATGCCATTAGAGAATTTAATTAATATAGTACCAGTTCTACTAGTACGCCATACTACGTGCATATGGAAGCCTCTTTATTTTGTAGGGCCTGGTTGGGTTTTGTTTTTCATTGTGATAGCATCATCGCAGTTCGATCATTCAATCAATCCATTATCCCTCGCATACCCCCATTGTATTGTAGTACGAGAATGTGCTCATCGAAATTGATATGCCGGGAGTTAAATAATAGCCCATTATGACTAGTGAGTAATTTAGAAAAGTTTGCTTTTCAATCATGCGCAAATCATTAGCATGTGCTTGGGCCTCGTCGATATGCATACACGGGGTCCCATCAAGCGTGAAATAATGATGCACCTCCCTGCCTCTGTTAACCCACAGCTGCCCTGCTGCTCAAATGTCCGCTGCATCTGTTGCAGTTGCAAAAAATCGTCGGATTTCGACCGCCGCTCGACTACCTCAGTGCTCGGAATTTGATTTACGCGCCGCCAACTGCCAGCAATTTCAAAGATCGTAATCGGCGCAGTGGGGCGCCCAACCCCTACCAGGATGAGGACTACCACAGTCGGGACGAGAACGAGCCGCCGGCAAGTGAGCTGTGCTGGCGCAGTTGTAATGAGGATCCGGACTGCATTGCCTACGTCCATCTGCTGGATACGAACGAGTGCTACGGCTACTCATATTTTGAGCGGACAGCGCGATATTTGGCCATTTCTGATGAACTGGCTCTGGTGGCGGATGCAGAGGCCGTGTTCTACGAAAAAACTTGCCTGAGAGGTGTGTAAATGGGAGTGGGGGATGGAAGTTGTGGGCGTGGGTGTGGTCCAATGCTAATTTGATGATTTCTGTTGTTGCTTCTGCAGTTCCTGATGCGTGCAAAGGTCGCCGCTGGGCCTTGACGAAAATCCCAGGCAGCAGTCTGGTGTTTCAGAGCAAAAAGACCATTTCGACGCTGGTCACGCGTCGTGAGTGCGCCGAAAAGTGTTTCTTCGAAAGCGAATTCAAATGCCTGTCCGCCTCGTTTGCGCCATCGTATCGGAACAATCGTGCCAGGTAATTGACAGTTTTTGCCTTTTGTGTTTATTTTTTTGTTGTTTTTTGTTTCTATACCGATTAATTGCTTGTGTGATGCAATTTTAATGCGAAAGCTTTTCCCTTTCTGTCGTCTGTTTTGACATTGTGCTTATGATATCATGATATCACGTGGGCTCGCATTTTTGTGTGTTGCTTTTTTGTTTGCGCACTGCATTCCGCCAAAGTGAAGTCATAAATCACAGCACAGTGGAACATGTCGGCACTCCAGGCGGATGAAAATGTTTTTTAAATGCACCCGTTTCTTAAATGTTGGAAAATAACATTAGGCATTAGTTCCTAGGCATGCATATGTATAAATCAAGTCAAGTGCTTTCATTTTTGAATTTTAAATCAATTTCCGATTTTTCATATAAACCTTGGAGCCAATTTTTCCCCATTTAGAGTTTGAATTTTCTGTGCAATGAAAATTTCTGAAAATGCTTTGAAAATATATTATTCTGACCGCCAAACCTTCGGGAAAATTAGGTTCTGTGGACAGCTAATAACGCACTCGAGTACAAATTTGCGATATATAATTATATCCACCGATTATTTATGTTCAATAACACTTTCAACATAATATGGCAAATGCTAGAATCCACTTTCTTATGAACTTCTTCAGTTAATAGATTTAAATATAAACTAAACTAAACAGCACTTTATAAGCACTTTCTTGTGGCCCAGATATTCTTAGGTACATCTTTAATATATTGTATTATCGGTAAAAAATTACAAAAAGTGACCTAAATTTTAACCTTACAATTTTAAGGACTCGAAAAAAAGTAAACTTTTTGTAATTTATTTGAAATCCTGTTTACTTTTGGATGCACTTTATTTTATTATTTAGTCCATCTTTGTAACTGTACAATGATTGTGTTGTTCTGATTTATTGAAGTCTAGTAAGGATTTATGGATTGCTTTTCCGGTTGCTGGAACTTTTATTTTCAAATTCTTAAAATCAATTCAAAGCCTTTAACTATTTCGGTTAAAGACTGCTAAATAAGTTTATACGTAAACTTAATGCACTAAGCATATTGAAATCAATCTTGCTTGTTTGGAATATTTGCATAGTCTGAGGACAATACAGTTAAGAAAACTTCTAGCTGACTGAAGAGTTCTTGTTCAAATCAATCCAACTATAAAATTAAACTTGTACAGCTTGGCTCTAGAGTTTTTAGAAAAACTTGTATATAAAAAAGCCGGTAGCGCCTTCCACAGTGCGCAGCCAGATGAATCAGCTATGGTATAAGTACATTTGTAGATCATTAAAAACAACGTCTGATACACCCTTATAGATTCCGACAAGATGGACGAGCACGGCCTCCGCCGCACATTACGCTCGGCCGTTGCATGCTGAGCGACAGGGACAAGACCATACAGCCGGATGCTTTTCGGACCGCACCCTACGATGAGGAATACATGGAGAATCAATGCTATGAGCGCGCCATTGAGAACGACAATTGCGCCTATGAGCTGTATGCGAACAGCAGCTTCATCTACGCGGAAGCCAGATATTTGGGCCTAACCCAGAAAGAGGTGTGTTCGCTGCTCGTGTTCTTGCCATTGTTGTTATGGTTGTTGTCCAGTGATTGGAAATGTGATTGATGATGAGCCCGAAATGTGTATGCGCGCTGTCTCTCTGTTCGTTTTTCATTTTCAGTGCCAGGCGCTGTGCTCCCACGAGTCCAAGTTCTATTGCCAAGGCATCTCCTTCTACTATGTGAATCAACTGACCCGTTCCGAGTGTCTGCTGCATTCGGAGGATATTGTGTCGCTGGGACCACGCAGTTTAAAGCTGCGTGATAATTCCGTGTACATGCGGCGCGTCAAGTGCTTGGATGGTGAGTAGCCTGTCAGTTAGCAAGTAGACTTTGAGTGCTAACATTTCCCATTTCACATCTCCCATCCCCCATGCATTCCACAGTGAAGGTTGTGTGTACTCGGGACGAGATGAGCATCAAGTATAGGCCGCGGGATTGGTTTGTGGGTAACATGTATGCCAGCATGCACTCGAAGGATTGTCTGGCGAGAGGAACGGGTAATGACAGTGTCGTGCTACGCCTGCAAATCGGCAGCGAGGCAAAGGAGAACCGCTGTGGCGTCCTGAGAGCCTACGAGATGACCAAAGCCTTCCAAAGGTACTATGAGCACAATTTTTATAATCCAAAAACATTTTTTTAGGCCTCATCACTATTTGTACAGTACTTATAATAGTAATTTTGATAGATGAACATCCACCTTCAGACGTTATATACGCTCAGAAGCAGTTTGTGGGCGTAGAACTGGATAAAATAAACTTGTGTTGAGTAGGGATTAGGAGCGTCTAGATACCAAGTTAGGTTAATGTGGGGTCAACCATTTCCGAAATCCAGACGTTCATCCAGACGGGCAGACATGTTCATATTGATTTCTCTCGTAATGTTCATTAAGAATATAAACACTTTATGGGGTCAGGGATGCTTCCTACTGCCTGTTATATACTTGGTACAAGCCTAATACATCCATTTTACGGGTACAGGGTATAAAAGACAATCTTATGTAAAACATACAAAATCTAAGACTATATCCAATGATATAATGAGGTTTATCAATCTGGAATCTAGAACTTTTGGTCCCATTGTTGCTTTGGAATCAGTTTCCACTAACTTTTTATTTCAAAATCTTTTACAATATATAAATAAGTAAATAACAACGTACCTGTGCATTTAAAACAGAACGCAACATCTTTAAATTAATTTTTCAATTCCAACAGCTTTCTAATGTTTCCCAACTTTGTGGGCAGAGATGTTATTCGTCGGCTCGCAGATTCTCCTTATTCTCGTCGACCATGGCAGTCACTCGCTTCTCCAGCTCCTTAAGAACTTGCTGCTGGAGCTCCATGTCTACATTGAGGGCCTCTAGATGTGAAACGTCACCGCGTTTGCTATTCAAATAGTCGACAATCCTAGACTGCACTTTGTCCATCTTCTCGCCTGAGTCGAGCTGCGAAGGTGGCATCTGACCGTTTGGCTGAGACGTGGGGCAGTCTGAGTCATTATTCTGAGTATAGCTGCTATTTTGCTTCAAGATCCGCTCCAGATCCCCTTTGAAAGCAGAGACGTCGATTGGATCATTTATTTGTTCTCTTGCACCAACCAATACCGAATTATTTTGATCCAACGTGATCTTGAACTCGCGCAGCTCCTGCTGCGCCACTTCAAGCACCTGTTCATACTTATTTATGTAGTTTTGTTTAGACTGCATGCGCTCCTCTTGCCTTTTCTCAGCTGCACACATAACTTCATTGTTTCGTTGCTGTATGTTGGATAGATCTTGGTCGAACTCACTAATGCTCTGCTGCAGCTGTTCCAACTTGGTGTCTAGCTCCATGTGACGTTCGTTTACATCGAGACGGTGTTGTGCCCACATGGCATGTTTGGTCTTGTTGTTGGCATCGAAATTCGCCAGCTGCTGCCGCTTATGAGCCAATGCCTGGGCATTAAATTGGTTCAGCTCCAGCTGTAAACTTGTGTTGGTGGCTGAGGCCTTCGTTAGAAGCTGGTCCAGGTGCTGACAACGTTGTTTCATTTGAACATGCTTCTTTTTCGCCAGAGCGCTTAACTCTTCTATTTTTTGAAGTCTCTTTTGCGCCTTACTATGGTTGAGGAGTAGTTTCAGCGTCCATTTATCCATTTCGTGGTCGCTGCACAGCCCAGAATAATGCATCTCACGCAGATTGGTATTGAACTGTTCCAGTTGATCAAGGAGCTGCTTCTTGGTCCTTGACAGCATCACTTGCTGCGTAAGATTTCGGTCGTTGAGCTCACTCTGCTCTCGCTCATACACCTGCGCCTCGCGTTGCAAGTCCTCTAGAGTGGTTTTAAGGCTTTCCCATTGATGTACTGTCCATTTCTGTTGGTTGACTGCTTGCTTTAACTGGCCAAGCTGTGTGCGCAGTTTCTTGAGTTCCTGCGTTTGGAGTTTGCTACTTTCGCACATTTGTTCGCATTTTTTCCAGAGGTCCGTAGTATTTGTTCTAGTTGCTGAGAGCTCTTTGAGCTTACGCTGTTTCTCCGCATGCAGCTGCTTTAGCTGTTGCTCCTTCTTCTCGTCAGTGTGAGCAGCCACTTGCTCCTCCAGCTCCTTGAGAATGTGCTGCTGAGTCTCTATATCCGCATTGATAGCTGCCACATTGGGCAAATCGCAACGTTTTCTGATCAGATAGTCGCCAATCCTACACTGCGCTTCATTGAACTCGTCATCATTTCCATCGTTCCATGCAATAAAGCCAGGTACGGCAGCGGCATATATATGACCATTAGCTTCCTCGTCTAATTGAAAAGCCGCCGCCTGGGTGGTTGACAGAGCAGAGGAACAGTCAGTAGTATTGCTATGCATATAGCTGTGTTGTTCGCTTGTGTCCATGAAGGGGAACTGATTGGACTCCGCATTGTCTAACGGCGGCGCAAAGTCCTTCAGAAAGTCCAACATAACAATCACGTGTCCAAACGAATGCTGCGTGGTGGGCGTCATAAGCCAGGACTTGTTAAGTGTATACGGATATTTAATCTTCTGCATTGAGCTCATAATGTCTTCTACATGATTGCTGCCTATTGTGTGATTTCGCATAATTTGCTGCAAGAACAAATTAACAATGCCCACAAATTGCTTTGTTGACATTTGGCGCAGCGTGTTGCGTTCAAAAAAATCGCTGGAAAGACCAGGCATTGGATGCGAGGGCAACAGCTGCTGCAGATAATCGGATATTTGTTGCGCCGTCTCCTGAACCCACTTCTTATCCGAGTGTAAGGCCGTCGGACGATCTGCGGAGGTGGCGCGCATGCGCATGGGTGTTGCTCCAGAAGACCCAACCGACCTTGACGTTGAGCCGGGTGGTCCAAAAAGCGCGCCACGACCGCTATCCAAAGGCGCCGGTTGCCCCAAACGACTGGCACGACCCTGAATCGTCTGTCTGAAAAGTGAAAAGGCTGTTTAAAAGAATTATCACCTCACCATTGCGAGGATACATTACCGTGTCGAGGAACGCATGGTCGTCATGGGCGATGGAGTGACTAGGGTACGGCCCTGAGCTCTGGAATACACATAATTTTTAAAGTTCGCAGCTGCACATTTTATTTCAACATTCTTACCTTGTCTGCCGCCTGTTAAAGTCGCCATCGTCGTACTCATGAAAGTCTTTGGTGCGACGTGGTTGATACATGGCTATATTCTATCGTGTAACCAGAACGCTTTTACTACAATTCTATTTTACAATAGGAAAGAAGCCGAAGCGTCGTATTCGAAATCGAGCGCTGAAATTAAACTGCACTATCGAAACTTCGTTTGATTGACAGTGTTGGAAACATGTAGCGATTGTAGCTAGGACAAATAGTTATCGATAGGCTGAAGTGGTCGTTTTGTAATCGGTTAAGCGATTTAAAATATACTCAGTTTTCGCGTTGTTTAATTTAAACGGCAAAATACTTTTTGTTAGAGAAATTAGATGTTGTTTCTATATTATTAACGTTAATCTATCATTGCAGAACTTTTATTTCCGCGTTGGTGGTAATACAGAACAATCCAAATGTACAAACTCAAGGCGACCGGCTTATCAAGGTGGGCTGTATTCTAAGCAATGCCACAAACACATTGAGGGCAGTTGCTCGTGGAGGTGACAGCAGTGTGGACGCCACGGAGCATATACCCAATGCCATAGCCCTAGAGTCTTCTATGGAATATTCAGAGCAGTAAGTCCTTTCACTGAAAACAAGTAACGGTCGAAATACTATATAAATGCTTCTCACTTCAGCATGTTTCCTTATGAGGGAGTAGTTCATTACAACAGCAGCGATGCCCCGCATCCACAACCAAAAATTACTCTTCAAATAGTCGATTTATCCCACCAACATGAAATGAACGATGTGCAAATTGGCCAAAACTTGGAGCTACAAATCGTCGCCGAGTATAGCCCTCATCAACTGGCGCAGCATATGGAGCTAGAACTAGCACCGTTGCCGGACTTTAGTGCCAGCTCGCTGGTGGCCAAGACGCAGGATAATCAGAACTATGTTCTCTTGATCGACGACCGTGGCTGTCCCACGGACGTAAGTGTTTTTCCAGCACTCACGCGCGTTCGCACCCACTCCAAAAATATGCTGCGGGCCCGCTTTCATGCCTTTAAGTTCTCGGGCACTTCCAATGTAAATTTTGATGTGAAGATACGGTTCTGTGGAAATAAATGCGCGCCCAACAATTGCCTGCATTACGGAGCTGATGATCACGTAAATCAGCGTTGGCGACGACGCCGGCGTCAAGCTTTGGACCAACCGGTGCTCACAAAAGTGCAGAATCCTGTATACATCTCCACAGTCGTCGATGTGGTGCCCGAGGCACCGCTAAGTAACGACAGCGCCTCAGGACAAGTGGGTCAACAGTCGGAACTGCCTCTGAATTACAATCTGCGTGTGCATGGCCCTGACCAGACCAACAGCAACAGTTATTTATATGGCGAGCGTGGCGTCCTGCTCATTGCCGGCATTGATGACCAGCTTCATCTCGACAATATTTGCATGAATCAAAGCCTATTGATTGCGCTCTTCATATTGTGGTTGATATTTCAGGTGGCACTACTATTTGGATGCGGTATGGTGCTACAGCGGTATCGGAGGTTGGCCAAGCTGGAGGAGGAACGGCGGCGGCTGCACGAGGAGTATTTAGAGGCTAGAAGAGTGCATTGGGCAGATCAGGGCGGCTATACGCTATAGAGTTAATAACATTTGTTCATATAAAAATCATTTTAATTTAATAAACTACTGTCCATCTAAACAAACACGGAAGTCTTTTACATAATGGACTAGTTGTTGACATAGGTCTAAGAATTCTTTTTGGGATCGTAGTGCTCCCACTTGCGATGGTTCAACAAATTGAAGTCATTACAGTGCAAGGCTATATTACGTAAATAGTCCGAAAGTTTGAGTAACTCCTTGTCTTTGCTGCGATTTAAGTGGGCCTGTCTAAAGGGTCGTATCTTTAAACCAGACTTGGGATTCATCAGGAAGTTGCGACGAATGTCGTCGAACATAATCGTGTTGGTGGAGCTGTACTGCTTGTACAATGACCAGATAACGCCCAGCGGCTTGACATCCACCACACCGCGTTCCGGCATGTGCACTGAGATCATGGCATTCGAGTCGAGGTAGAACATGATTTTGTAATTCTCATTGTTGCTCACGCCTAGAAGGCGCATTTTCTCCTCAATCCACCGCATGCTGGTGGCCGACCAGATAACTATATCATAATGTTCATAGGCAGACTGCAGAAACTCGTGCAAATATGGGCGCATTAACTCTGTACCCGTCTCAGCTGGCGAGCGATGATCAAAGAGTGTATAATCTATATCTAGCACTAATAGCTTCTTCCCTTCTCGCGGTGGCGACAGCTCTGTGATCTTATAGTCCCTCACGCGTCGCTGCACCTTTGCCAAGTACACAGCAGAGTTCGCCACAGACTCTTCACGCTCCTCGGCATCATCGAAGTCATCGATGACCTCACCAATATCATCCGGTAGACTGCATGCATCCTCTATGTCTGCTTCCGTAGAACCGACCATCATAAGCTTAAAGTTCGGTTTCAGCTCCAGTTGGCTGAGCTTCAGATTGTCGGGAGCGGGCTTGCCTGCAAAACCCAAAATGAGGCATTATTACTCACCAGCTGTTGAAGTACGACTTACCTTTGTGCTTCAGATTTATTAACTTCTGCCGATCGGGGCGGACTTGTGTTTTGCGGTAAATTTCATGACGCAGCACTTCCACAGTATCCTGGTCGGCGAGGTCGACAGGATACTCCTTACCGCTCCATTTGACAACAATAACAATTTCTTTTATATCAGCCATTTCGTGCAGACATTTGTTATTATTTGCCAAACGTTTGGTGGTTTTTGCTTTCGAAGTCGGAATTAATTTGTTTACTCTCAATTTTTGACAGGAAAGTCTTTTGGTCTGGCAGCACTGCTTACTCATGTCCGATAAAGTACTTACATACTCACAAATGGCAGCACTACAACGCTTTCCAGCGCACTGGCACCACCAGGCTACCATATGTTTAAATTCAAATTTAAAAATAAAAATCTAGATCACGCTATAAACGCCAAGTTAAAATTTGGGCAAAATTTATTTTAAAAATAAACTTACTGTTTCATTTAAAATTGGTGATGGCACTATTTATTTATTTTATTTATAATGTAAAAATCATACAGGGCTCGCCACAGGACACCCCTTAAGTCTCTTTTCTATCGCCTGCTTCTTTTAAACCCAGCAAGCTAGAACAATTTTCCCTGATTTTAGACAAGACAGTAAGACAGTTTTACTTACGTCTTCGAAAACTATGTCGTATTTAAATGTTGCCTACATTTTAATGCATCCTAAGAAAGAGTGCAAAAAACATTTAACGGCTTTTGAACAAAACTTGCAATTTAAAAGAAGATAAATAATACTATATGCACAAAGATAACGTGCACAAATATCGGTATTTTATCAATCTGCTTTCGACTTTTGAACATTAGACAGACAGGGTAGAGGGTGTCATATTCAAGTGGCGATGAGTGTATATTAGCTATACATACTAACCCATGGATGCATATGGGAACGAATGCATACATGCATAAGTGTACATTCATATATCCCAGATTAATGATTAAAAATTTCTTCGTTCGTAGTCCACTTTTTATTCATTTATTAAACAACATATGGCTTGGCCGATTTCTGGCCTAATGGAAATTCAGATTATTCACCGCGTCGTCCTATGAGCAACTAAGAATAATCGGCGCCGCCAAATCTTTATTCGTTGCCGACTACCACTTGTGGAGGCATTATGTGTGGGTATGTACATATGCATGTGTATTTATGTATGTGTGTGTCAAAAGTGGGTGATGCTGTGACGACTTGCAGCGACGTTGACCGCGCCGCCGCCGGCATGAAAATTCTCTCGACGCGCACGCATCAGTCTCAATTAGGCGCGAGCAACGCAAACAACAGACTCGAGCGGAGACGATCGTCGTGCGTTTTTCTTGTTTGACGTACAAAGTATGTTTTATTTTCCTTCTGAGTGTGTGTTAGAGCTGGGCATAGGTCGTGCTTTTCTTCGTAGTCACCGTGGTAAGCACGAAAATCACGATGTACCACGAAAAACATCATATAAATGTCAACTTCAACACTTTTGTTGGATCTAAGCCATAAAAAAGGAAGTATGTACATTAATATTTTGCAAGGTATTTCCCATTGAGCATTATTAATGAAATTTATATCTACATATACATATATGTAGGAGTATATGAAATTGATTATATAGTTTTATCTATAGATATACATATGTATGTATGTATTTATACTTCAAGCAATTTGGACATCTTGCTAGTGATTAGATTTTTTAGAACATTTTTTTTATATTAAAAGATAACACAATTTCATTTCGGGCCATGCGGGGTAGCTTATGAAAAATGTCGGTTGTTTTAAAAAGGCCGTCTCGTGGTTGTATTGAAAAGCCGACTCATGCTCATCTCTAGTGGGCAAGGAAACAACTTTTAACTTTTGTATTGCACCTCAACACGCGCTTCGCACTCACTGCGACAAGTTTAAAAGAGAGCGGGAGAAAAGCCGTTAAAAAGCTATACGCTCACTTCGCGTATTACGCTTTGTGCTGCTGTTTCGTTGTTGAAGTTTTCGCCTCACCTGCGCACGAAGATCGTGTTCAACAACAAAGCACGAAGCCGCGTCTGCGACTCAAGCTGTGGCTGCGCATGTCTCAGGGGCTTCCATTCAGTTGCGAGCGAAACGAGTTGAAGTGCAAACGTCTCAAGCGGAAAATCAAGTTGTAGAAGTTGTGAAGAGATAGAGCAACGGAGTAATACAAAGTTGAATGAAGTTGATAGTATTTGCCAAACATCAGATCAAACAGAATCGAAACAGATCACAAATTGGAATTTGAGAGCAAACACGCAAGACCGTGCACATTCTTGTTGGCACATGAAAACGACAAAAATTTGCATAAGGCAAAGACAAGTCGCGGTGATTAAGTTAACCCACTTTCTAAACGAAATAACAAAGCAAGAAAAAAAAAAACACAACAACCACAAAAATCGACAAAAAAATAAATAACGACACAAATATTTACGACCAATAATGTTAAGTAAATAATAATGTGCAAGTGATTCATAAAGAAATCTTGATTTTGTTTTCCTCCTTTACGTCGGGCATATCGAATTCTAACTAAAAGTGAACCGGCCAATAACAACAACAAAAACAACGACAACAAAAGTGCAAAAGAAGAAAAAGTTGACTTGTTACGGTACGAAAACGCATTGAAAACGATACCAATTCCAAGACCGAGACCGAGACGCGCTGCACGTCCCGTCGGTCGTCCGCGCTGGCAGTAAAAACCGCAACCAAAACTAACAACAACAAACTGCAGGGCGTCTCTGAAAGCGACACCAACAACAACAACAACAGTCAGAGGCCTTCCCTTTCTGTGGCTGAGCCTTTTGCCAATCGACGTCTTAAAACGAGTTAACAACGTCAACGTAAACGCGCTCAATACTTGAACTGCCAAATCGTGCCCAGCAACAACAACAACAACAACAACAACAGCCAGACAAAGTTGGTCAGCTTAAAAGCCAAGTTAAAAGGTTCTCAGACCATTTTCCTTCTTGTACGCCATAATTCATAATTTGTCTGTGGGGCGCGACGAAAGCAGCCAAAACAGCAAAATTTTTAGCACCTTTTAAAAAACTCGCCGGTCGGTCACAGTTTCGCATTTCACAAAACATACCTACATACATACATACATCATATATACACACGTATACATACATACAAAATAATAAACAACACAAACAAACATAAGCTCACAATTTCTTTGGATAATTATTACGCGCATATTTCGTGTTTGCTGACTTGGTGAAAATCTTTTTCCACGATATTGTTTAACAGCGGGTAAGTTATTAACTTTATGCCTCTATTTAAATATTTGCATTGTTTAAGAAGTTCTCAAGTTCTTGTCCATATGCAAAAAACCTAATCAATATGGCGAAAATATTTTGTTATTTGATACAAAGGTGTTGGTTTTCACATTGAACTATTGAATTGCGGTCTGGGGGTGAGCTTCGCGTTCGTTCTCTTGGAAGTGCTTAGAAACTTTTGATTCCTTCTATAAAATTAACTTTCAAATACTGTTCTTTAAGCCAATTTCATGATGAAGAGGAGATTTCCGTGCCCTTTCATATTTCTCCATCTTTAACAGCTATAGGATTATGGCTTAAGACATTTCTGTACCTCTATCCGTTACATTTTAAGCAAAGACTTAAAAGTACAATTAAGTAACATTAGTATTACTCACATAGTATATAACAATCGTAATTATATTTGTTTTATTTTTAAAATTATTTTTTAAAAGCCTTCAAAGTAAACATCTACGTAACATAATTCCATAACAAACGTTTAATGGATATGTTCCTTGATTATTTATTATTTTTCATTTTGTATTTAACTAGAAATGTCACCGGCACCTTGATTGTGCTTATTCTGCATATTTATGTATATGTATAATTCATAAAAATCAGAATCTATAACATAATATTTAGGTAATGGGGCAATCGGGGTACGAGCATTAATTTGAAAAGGTCTGCCAGTTCCATAATTTCAGTACGGGCTTCTATCCTATAGCCTATCCAGTCTATTTCGATAAACAAACAGCGGTCGCTGTACGTACTAGTGTGTTGGGTTTTTTGGAGATATACTGATTCCAGATCTATTAAGTGTCCAAAGAATCCATTGGCTACGCAGCTGACTTTATAGTATACCCTTCCTATAAAGCTGTTTTAGAATACATATTAGAATATTAGAATATAGCGCGAAATTTATTCAAAGTCAAAGTATGGTTATAATGTTGTGATTGAGATATATTTGTGAGTGCAGTCCATCCAGCACCTTAGGGATATATTTTTAGCAAATAGTATTAACTATTAAATCAAGTGTACATACAAGTAGCTCAGCAACAAAAAGTTTATAGCACCTGAAATGGCCGAATTCTGCGTGCCTTCCGCACACACACCTCCATAGGATGCCATTTATTGTGCGCTACGTGTCTTATTTCCTGCCTGCACATCACAACAACAACTACAACAACTTGGTCAAAATAATAGACACGTAACCATAACAAATTGTATTTATGAATGAAAACGGGCGTTTCGGTGCAAAAAAAAAAATAAAAGAAGAAGGTAAGCGACCAGATGAAAAATTCGAGCGCAAGCCCATGGACAGTGCAGTAGTTGTCTTTGAGTTGGCCAGCAGACGGCGACAAATGTTTGCACGTTTGTGAAGAAAAATGAAAAAAATAGAAACTGTCAATAAAGTGAAAAAGAAACGTTGAACGTAAAAGGCAGAGACAAATGCCTTGAAACATGTTTCTACGCAGGCCTACGCCTTTTGTTTTAGACACAGACAGCACTCATCATGGTGATTGCCACCGGCATTGCGACTTTTGAGCGCCACAACAGCAATAACAATAAAACTGATATTAACTATTTGTTTGTTGGCCAAAAGCCGCAGCAGCAAAAACTACACAGTCAACACTTTCACAAAACTTGTTCGAACAAATACTAACTAACATACTTATAAGGAGTGTGTATGTACATACTTGTACATGCATAAGTATTTCCATTTTATTTGCCTTTTCGTTTAACATTTTTATGCAATTTTCGTTTTGCACATACAAGTATTATGATTGAGTTTTGTGTTAAAAGACGTGCGCGTTGCGTTCAATCGCAGATTTTGCTCAAACAAAGCCAGCGTACGATACTCAAAATGACATCGAGGCCCCCTCCAACAGTAGTCAATAGTCAACGATGGAGAAATTAAAAAATCAAAAACTGCATTTTGGCACGAACTCATTAAAAAGTGATGAGTACCGAGCAGGGCGAGTGTCGGGTGCGACCAAATTGTCGCCCACAAAAGTTACGCAGGCGCATTGCTTGGCGGCAATGCACAGTGGGACAGACGGAACAAATTTGAAATGAAAATGTTGTAGTTGAAAAATGAATCGCATTTCATTGACATGTTTAAAAAAGTTTTCTTTATGTAACCTTAACGTTATTAACAAGTCGAATGTTAAGGTGCCAGGCTGACTCCTAAATACATTTTACCCACCCCTCTGATGATACAGTTTTTCAAATAAAATAATCTTGGATAAGATTTCAGCTTATGTTGAGGCAATATTTGCGTAAATAAGTATATAACAAAGCTGATGGCACTTGGGTTGAATTCTGCGCCGATCGTTCCCTTAACTGGCAAATGTTCGCAAGATATCTTTATAAGCAAAAAAAATGATTCTACGAAGAGTGACTTTTGCGCCTATCGATTCCATAGCAGCTATATAAATGAATGAAGCTATACATATATGATTTCCAATAAACTTGCTCTGCATATGAATAAGAAAAGTCCACACCAAGATTGGTGTCCCTAACTGCTATGGCTTAACAGACGGACTGACGAATTTTCTCGTCTTGCTGTACTCATAACATGGTATCTGTTGTCTGCTACATACTTATATAAATACATTTCTAGTACATAATACCATTGAAAGCTATAGTTTAATGCTTTAAAATATAGCTACTAGTCCTTTAGTTCATAGTAGTTTACATCTGACTATTTGCGGAAGATATCGTTTATGGCAATTATCGGCAGCACATTTACCTTCTCTTCTCTTTTAGGCTTTAGTATTGCTATTTAAATATTAATTAAGAATTCACCATTGAATACCACCGTGCGCTGACAAGACGAGGCTGTAAATAATCGTGAAAAAGTGTGCAATGTAAAGTCCAAAATAATTATGCACATTAAAGCGCAACTTTCCACTTTTTTGTACGCGTGGTTTTTGTTTGTTTATTAACATTTTCAAAGCACGCACTTTTTTCTCATGGTTTACCAAATATGCAGGCTCTATTGTGTTTAAATTTATATAATAAACTAATATAGCATTCATATACTATACGTATGTATGCATAATTAATGCAATTCCTGTCTGTGGTCATGGACTTTATATTGGCAGACGTATGTGTGGCGTTTTAAAACGCCTCGAAAACGCGCGGGCTGCCTACACAGACGGCTTGCAATCGAATCAGTATGTGCCGCATACTTGATAAGTAAAACGTGATTGATTGCAAATAAGTGCAAGACAAGGCATGTTTACATACATACATATATACATACATACATGTGTGTGCCTATGTAAATATGTAGCTTTGTCTGTATATGTGGGGGTGTACGTATGTGCTTATCAGCACTTATCAGTTGCTAGTGGGCCGCTGGCCCTGCACTTGTTCTCTGCTATTCGTACCTGTAAATATTCAAATTTTTGGGCAGTTGTCTTTGTTTACCGTTCGAGTGTTTATTTATTATCTGGCGACCTGTTCAATCGTGTCTTAAATGTGCAAAGATGAAGCTGCGCGCGTCGTCTAATTTGCCGCCTCATCCCTCTTAAAACGGTTCGACAAATAAATCAACTTCAATGACCACCACTTCTGCTTTTTAGCTGTAAATCATCTGCTTGTTGTTAACTATTTTTTCTCTATTTTTTTGTTGTGTTTTTTTTTTTTGTTTTTTTGCTACTCTTTGTGCGTCAACTTGGCACGACAAGTTGGAGAAAGTTTTTTGCAAAATAATATCAAAAAAGAAACCGAAAAAAGTTAACGTTGAAATTAAATTCATGGAACAAATAAAAAGCAAAACGCTGCAAAAATATTAAGTGTGCAGTGCGAGCAGGTGATTTACGAGTAAGTATACATACATATATACATATGTATATACATACTTGTATTGTAATAATTCTTTTATGTAATTGGCAAAAATCCTACTTTTTACGATTCTTCTCCGCAACGAGGTTCGAATTAAAAACACATAACAATTAATAGGCAAAGCAATCACAAGCAAATCGGCAAGGTGGCAAGCCACATAAATCAAACAAACACCAGACAACATGATGAGCATAAAAAGTTGCAATTATGTACATAATGCACACAGATACAGGGTGCTTAGAACTACTGGAATACGAACTCTAAATAAAAATGCTAGTCCAATGAAATATTCATTAGCTAAGAATCTAAGTCTTGCTTGAACCGGTTCTTTTTTAAATTTCAACTCACAGAGAGTCTAGATTTAAAAAAATAAATATTATTTAAAATTATATATTGTGCATTATTTGAGAATTCCGAAAATGAATTAGCAATCAATGCGTTTGCAATCATGAAGCGCGAGAAAGATTTTTATAAAGTTAAAATATATCTTTTATCAGTTCATGTAACCATTTTAAAAGATTGCTTTCTCAAAGTTACCCAAGCCGCTCAGAATACTAGGAGTGTCTCCTAATTCTCCAAACCAATCCAAACAATTTGGATATTATAATAAGTAAATAATAATAAAAACAAAAGTCTTCAATTCAGAAATAGTATAAAGTTTTCGTTGATTACTCTTTTGATTTTGAATGTTAATTTATATTTTAATGTTGGGAAAGATCAAAAACAAATACTCACTACTTTTACAAAAAATGTAAAAAATAAAAATTATGAAAATCTTGTTTTAGTAAAATCTAGAGAGGGTGATTAACAGAGACTAATCAAATTAGTTTTACTTCTTATATACTTTTATTAAACCTGCATTTTTATTAACAAAGATATACATGGGATTGAGTTTTAAGAAAAAGTTTGCTCAACCCAAGCTTTGATGTCTAGAGAGTCGTAAGTAAATAATTTTTCCGACACCCTGTATGCGCTCGTTAATACAAAGGTATTTATGTAGTAAGCGTTGACAGAGGCATGCAGACAAAGACACACCTACTACGACTTTGGCAGCTGGTTACGCAAAATAATTGAAAAAACATGCAATTGAGTGAAAATCATTTGCGTCTGTTTCTGCTTTTGTTGCGACTAGTTTTTGGTTTT